GGTGACTTCTGTGCATGTCTACATGTACAAGTGCTTATTATATTTTTCCATTTATATCTCAACACTTTTTCAGTGCAAAGTTTTGGTATACTGCAACAAGGTTTAGAAATTCTTTTTTTTGAGTGCCTAATCATTTAGAGGCAGGTTGAAATTTCCTGTGTTTGAGCCTTCAAATCAAATCTCATTTCAACTTACAAGCTGTTCAAAATGACCTGCCACAAATGTACTCATTTGTTCTCAATAACCCCAGGTTTCTGGCAACTCATTCATTTGTGAGTTTGAGTTTGCACAACGGAAAGCATGCTTTATGCATCTCCAGTCACACAATTAACTTTCACAAAAATCAAAATTCACACAAAATTAATCGTGCCAGAATTTCAAACAAAACTGAAGCCACAACACCTCCCCCCCCCAAAAAAACCAAGCATTCTGAAGACTGTGGCCAATGTGTCTCACTTGATCAACCACTCAAACTCTTCTTTCTTGTCTGCACAGCCATAATCCGTAGTCCACGCGTGGCCGATGGTAAACTTGTGGAACTTCAGCATGTCCATGACACTGAAACGAGAAGGCGTCAACACAGTGATAGCTTGCCCTCCAAACCAATGAACCATTCTGAGGAAGGCTCATTTCATGTCCCATGAACCTCCTTCAGAACAACTGTTGTCATTCCTTTTAATGAAAGGTGGCTGGCATGCTACCCCACTTACAATTGCACAGGTACGCCTTGTGTCAACTCATTATGGCTACAAATTTAAGTGGCCACATTAGCCTACAGTGTTTTTCATACGACAGCACGGACGTTTTGAACATCCATGACAATAGAGCTCTCTCTTTTTATACCATAGCCATACTTGTTGCCTAGCAGGGGTTTTTAAACGATGACTGGCCATCAGCACAAACGCAATAGAATAAGTAGCCAACTGAAAAAAAAATTATTTTCTTTTTTTCTTAATCAGAACACCAAATAATCAATGCTAGTATGGAATACCATGACTGAACCCAGGACTTTGTTTGAAAGATCTGCGGCAAACGTATACCTTGAGGCAAGATCTGGCATCAACTGATGAGGCTGATGTCTGCAAACTTTGACTGCCACACTGAATGTACCCAAGACGAGAGAGGTTTATACTCTCATTCCAGCCCCCAGGTGTTTTTCTTTTTACATTTTTCCTGCGGACGTGAGGTAAGCCTGCAAGAGAACTGGCAGATCCATGGAAGAATCGGACACGCTTACCCGACTTGATTGATGATGCATCCGAAGAGATCAGGACGCTGATTGGCGCAGGCTGCCACCAGCAGACCACCGTTGGATCCACCGTTCATTGCAATTCTGCACAAGAAACAGACAGGTTCGGGGGGAAAAGATACGTTTGGTGGAGTGTGGTAGGCAAGTGAATATACAATCATTGACCCCGTTCTTCTACAAACCACCCAGACTTGGATTGCTTTCTTCTTCAATTCAGATTTCACCACATACACACTTAATATGCTTCATTGGTCACGGTTGGATTTAATTTCATAAAAGACACTGGACCAATTTTTCTTGCGAAATTTGTCATCTGACAATCTTTGACCAATATATTATTAAATCAATGTTATTGGGATCCACTCTGAGAATCTTTGACTAATATATTATTATATTGATGTTATTTGGGATCCACAATTTTTCTGAATTTCTTTACAGCTACATTTCCACATGAAATTCAATTTCATTTGGAGCATTCCTGTTGGTGAAGTTCATGGACAGGAGGAACTGAGGAAACAACTCATACAACTTGGAATCTTATTCATGCTGCCCATTCCGCTGAGACCTTCTACATGTACATGCATGTCTTCTGTGCCGCATAGGAACGGCAGAAATCAACCCTACCAAGGGTGACCCAAAAATCAGAATGATACTGTTACATTTGGTAAGGGTGAGAATTTACGGGTATTCTTGGAACCGGGTACCCGTTTTATGTCGATACCGGGTACCCTTAAAATACAAAGAACACTTGGCAATTGGTATTGCATGCCATACCGGGGGACCATGTGCCTGAAACATGGCTCTTTTTCATATGGAGGAAGTAAAGCAGGAGGGGATTCTCCACCATTTAAATTTTTTAACAAAATTATTACTTTTAGTTTGTAACAAAAGTAGCTTCGTCAACATCTGAATTGCAGTTGTGACCGCGGGACCAGGTTTTTCATTGGCACAGTAGGGCTTCAATTATTGAATATTCAAATATTATTTTTTGAATTGGAATATTTGAATGTAAAATTCATGAAAAGGAAAGGAAAATTTTCTTTGTTTTAAATGAGAAAAATTGCACTACGGTTTCAAGCAGATTCAACTGAAAAGTGTCAGAAATCTTGCAACGATTTAAAAAGTAAATTATTCATTAAACAATTTAAATAGAATATAAATTTTCAACAGGGCAAGAAGTCTTGTTCAACTCTTAAATCTTGTTAAATCGTGGCTGGAGATACTCCTACATGTAAAAACCTGTATTACATTGACCATAATATGTACAATCATGTGTTATTGGAACTGGTTTTGTTTATGGTCTGTTCATCAACGATCTGACAGTCGGTACGACTGAATATTCAAATATTCGATCAAATTGAAGGTCGAATATTCAAATGGTGAATTATTTGAATCGACTCAGCCCTACAGCACAGTGGTTTCTCAGCAAAATTCTGCCCTTCAGTATTAACGTTCACATTTCTTTTATTTGTGGATTTTTTTTATGGGTACCTGAACCCAAAAAATGGAACCCGATTTTGATATCGACAGACAGGTACCCAGCACAGGCCTAACATTTGGAGCATTCCACTGGAAATTTTACGGGTACTGCAGGTGGAGGCATGTGAAAAAGATGGCTGTGCTTCGGGTGAGCACACGCACTAATTCTACTGCGAAATTAATCATTCCCTAATTCCATAACTAAATCTGCAATCATCCTTTTCTTTCCAATTTTATAGCACAGTTCGTATCTAATATTACATGTAAATTTTTGCGTTGTGAGATAAGGGCCAGATTATTGAATAGGCACAGTAGGCCCTAGCGCCTTAGGGCCCACGAAAAATGTAAGAGCACACGAATATACCAGGGTGTGCCTCTGTCTTTGAATTTTTGATATTGGAAAAGCGTCAACCCATAGCATTTTGAAATCCCTTCTGATTTGGATTGCCAAATTTCTTCACAAAAGCCATTCATTTGTGAGGAAGATGAAAGGTGAATGCAGCTCTGAATAAAATACAAGGCTCCAGTGCTCACCAGTGCAATGAAATTGGTTCCGGAGCCTAATTGAGTAGGGACTGAGGGACCAAGGTGCCTAGGGCCTGTGAAACACTTAATTCAGCCCTGCACGGAATGGCATTGATCACCTTTTCGCACTGGTGTACTTGTTCTTGATGAGGTATTCGGCGGCACACTGGAAATCGTCAAAAACATTCTGCTTGTTGGCCAGCATGCCTGCCTTGTGCCACGTCTCTCCATATTCCCTGCAGGCGAAGGGAGGTTAATTTGAAATCTCTCTTTAGAATGCACTGCTCATGATTGAAGGCACACTAACAGCACTATTTCCATCGCTAAAATCTTCCAATAAACTACAGGAGAGCACATAGGAGATACTTGTGGGAGTAGGAACACCTACGGCTACATTTTTCTTGGCAATAAACATCTATGGACTGTTCTGGTGACTAGCATGTGTAGTCACTATTTGCAGTGGTACCACTGCATGACGTGTATGCCAGTGTAGTGGTCCTGCTGTCACGGCAGCAACTCTAAAATTGCAAGCAAGTTCACGGACACTGTTGATTTGCAAGACTGGGGCTGAAGGTTTGAAAACTGGGATGCAAGTCTGGGCCATAGTTTCTTGGTTGTAACGCTACAGGATTGTACCCATACTGATGAAAATAAGCTATGCCTACTTTGCACCATTTGCACATGAGGTAGAATTGAATGTGTTGTTCATGCATAGAGGAAACGCACTTCCAATTGTGCTTCCGTGTTAGTAGTAAATCCCAATGTCATCTACAAGTTGCCTTGGCAACCATCCTCGTTTTGACTCACCCGCCTCCTCGTATATTGGGGATGGCTAGGATTCCTCCTAAATGCCGGATGAAGACCAGTCTGGAGACGCTGAAACTGGGCATGATGGAGATGTTGAAACCCCCATAGCCGTACAGCAAGACAGGATGGTCACCAGTCATCTCAATACCCTGCCGGCGACGGTGACACAAAACGTGTCGTGGGTGTTGTGTAGTTGTAAGAGGAAAGATATTACAGACATTCCAAATCTCAGCTTTCTCTCTGGTGTCAGATTTACATTTCTTTTATGAATTGACTCAGCTGAGCTGAGATCCCCTGACTTACTGCAGCTGCATTTTTTTTCTGCTACAAAGGCATCAAAATGTCTCATTTGTAGACCTATTCGGATCTTTCCTCATGTGATCCAACCAGAGATAAAGTGTTTCATCTTTCAACAATATTATGGAGTTGAGCTGAAGCTGGCACACGAGACAAAGTCGAAATTTGGAAAATTGTCCATGAGTAGCTTCATTTTTGTATCGTCGGAACAAATAATCATCAAGTGTCTGACCTGTAATGTTAACTGTGAACTTTAAAATAAAAAAGGCAGAAAAAAGAGGGAAAAAAGAGAGGGGCAGAATATCACCAACTTGCTTGCAATTAATTAGAAAAAAAACTTCCACCATTGATGGTTTGTCAGGTTGTTGGTGATGAAATCTTTGCCCACCCCTCCGGAAACAATCTTTGCAACAACTGTAATTGTACCCTAAGGAGAAAGCATAGAGATACTGTCAACAGACATGGTTACCTTCCTGTGAACAATGAACATGGGTATCTTTGTGCTGTCTTTGCTGTCATAGAAGACCTGCTTGGTCTGGTACAGGCTGGGGTCAAACCCTTTAACCTCGATCTCCCGGAATGTCTTGGGTTGCACTGTATCCTTGTCCAGCTCACATCGGTAGATGACGCCAGGGGTTAGGAACGATGTGAACTGGTAGAATATCTGAATTGCCCAAAAGCAAAAAGGTCAGAATGAGCCAGATTAGTATTTCAAAACGAGACGGGCATTCAAGGGTAAAACACGCGCACCTCTGGCATATAGCTGTGCAGACCGGGCAAACCCATGCATACTGCTGTTCCGGAATGACCGTGGCGGGACTTCATTTTGGACATCAAGGGTGGGAATTTTCATTTAATTTGAAAATTGTTCAGAAAAACTTTACCGTACAGTGTAAAAATTTGAATGTTTAGCCAACACTTTGCAGGGGCCGATGCTGCCTACCTCGGTGATTTCCTATATGCATAATTTTATGGTTCAATAATGCACATGGTCCAAATAATATAAAAATGTAAATTGATGTTGGGCCACTTAAAACAAACAATGTTTATTTTAGAATCTACTCTTTTCTCAAAACTACATGGATGTCGAAAGGGAAAAAGTGTTCCGAACATCAGATTACACTTTACAGGCATCATTTGTAATAAAAAAAAATGAACACCAGATTGTATCAATCAAAATGTCGAACCTCTAAAAGGGGCAGTTCCGCTTAAACATTTGGGAAAATCTGTAAGTGGATTTGGAACTGGTCTCGTTTAACCACTCCACGCCGGGGGCATTTATAAGTGTTGATTCTGCTGGGCCAGGATATTTTTCATTTTTTTTCTGTTTTCAAAATTCTTTAAAAAATAATATCTTCATTTACTGGACACTTACAACCACACGAAGGACTGTCTGGTGGCTATTCTATTGATGCCCGAGTATTTCAGCCCGGCCTGCCCACCTTGTAAAAAGAGCCCAGATTGTGCGGTATTATGCAAGTTTCTTTTGTTCCTGAAACTGGCCCAGTGTGCTCCTGGAGTCTGTTAAATAGGGGTCAGATTAGTGTGCAGGGGTACTGTGTGGCTCATCGCTGCGGTGGTGGGGCACTTTTGTCCCCGGTGGTAACCTGCTCACACTGAATGCCACAAACAGTGGTATACTGTTTCAAAACAATGCTGGATTATCTCTACTACTGAAAGTGAAAAAATGTCGGTAATGTCAAGTAGTCTTTTGTTACAATGCCCAGTTCCCTTTGTCCGATTTCAGACACCCTGGCTGTGCTTATAAAGAATACGTGCCCGAAACCAGGCTCCCCGGCAGCAAGTGGTTAAATGTGTAAAGGTCCCAGCCTTATTGGGTGTGTGCTGTTGGAGCACTGAAGTAGCTCATTGGTCATCCTAAATCTGAAATGCTCCTTTCTCTTATTCTTTTCTGGACATTTCATTACAAGTTGTAACCGTATTTTTTTACTGTGAAAAGTTAAATATGAATGCATTTGTTGGATTCGATAGCGAATTTCAATTTCCATGCACAAAACACTGGGTATAATCCAGCTGCGTCTTCATAGCATTTTTTGTCTTGTCTTGAACTGAGGTTTTAATTTTTAACTTTGGGTTTTGAACTTTTTAACTGTGTGCATCGCAAGGACAACTTCATGCACACATCTGATGCGCGCTAACCAATAAAATGATTCTACTTTAAAGGTGTACAGCTGTTTCTCAACTAATGGATTCATGGCTGGAGTATAATTGTTGAGCACAGGTCAATTTGACCAAACTCACTGATAGTTACACCTGTATCCCCTGTACCTGCGTGTCTTTCTTGCGTCCCGAGTATCCAGTGACTGTGCCAACGTCTAGCGGGAATGTCGTCAGCCTCCCTCCAGTGCTCAAGGAATGGAGGTGAAGGACATTCTAGAAAGACCAAAGACACCAAACCATTGGTGAGATCTGCAGAGTTCTCAAGTAGAAAATGGACACATGATTTGCTTCTGAAGTTTATACTCTTCAAGATTTATGGTCGGGTTCAAAAACCTACTTAGACGTACTAAAGGTGTGTGTAAGCGAGCGCAACGAACTCCTCTTGCACTTTCTCGGCCGATTTGTTACCTCTGTTGTTGGTCAAGCGTCACTGCCCTTTCTAGGTGTTACAGTGCAACCTGCAATTAGAGCCGCAACAGAAGGCTGCTACTCACTGCCCTATGCACGGTCTGCATGTACATGTACATTAGGCTCTGCGATTGTCCACTCTTTGCAGGAACAACAAATGACCTGTTCCTGGCATAGTGATATCCCTTTGGTAAGAGCTAACCACCTGAGCGCACAGGTTCTTACATGCATGGCACACACCAAAGCACATGCAAACGATTCCGGTTGGAGTGTGCAAGCTTGGCATGAGCACCAGCACACGCCCAAGCCTAACCGAAAGCTTCCCACTAGCCTGTCGCTTCTTTGCCTGTGAGTGGGTGCTTCTAGCCAGGGCAGGTTACTATCAGTTCTAAGACTCGGCGATCTTTCTCACTTTTCTTACGCTCATAGTGGTTCATGGAAAGCGTAGCCTGTAACCCCACAACTACTACACGTTAGCTGAACAATGTGGACTGTCGACAAAGCGCCAATCTAGTTCCCAACCTTGCCTCGTTTCTGTCTGAATTCCTGGGCCATTAAACTGCTGGACTCACCTTGACATCATGCACATAACAGAGGACCAGCTTATCCTTGCATACACATGCTGTCCACTCCAGAACGTCTGTGTCCGATTCCGGGACCAGGTCCGTCCAATTTTCCTGCAGGTTCAGATCGCAGACCCGATTCTGATCAATCGCAGATTTCTCCTGACCAATTATCCATGCAACTACATGTTTATTTTAAAAGAGCAATACCCTCGTTTCCTGTTTTGTGTCTTGGATACTGCAACTTCATCAGTGTGGGACAGCCATATGTTCAGTTTGTAAAAACAAACATTTGTATTTGTCTAGAAAAACGATTACCGTGAAATGCAGTGCTACATAAAGTCATTTTTCACCACAAGTCATGGTTTTAGTCATTTTTCTATAAGTCACAAGTGTACTTTCCCGAGTCAAGTTGCTGAGTCATTTTTCCCTCACTGTCCAGTCAAGTTATCTGCAACTTTTTAACAAATCATGTCATTAGTTTCAAGTCATTTTAACGTCTATTTGATGTCATAACTGACACAGTGTAGGTGCACTCCCTCTAAGATGTGGCCCAGGAACATCAAACTTTTCAGCCTCGTTTGTTCTCATCAATTTCAATTATAAACCAGCCAAAATGAAAACACCATTTTCCATGGGAAGTAAGGCCATTTTTGGCATCGGTGTATGCCAATATGTCATTTCACTCAAGTCGCAAGTCATTTTCTCCAAAGTCAAAACTGAGACTCAAGTCCAACTTTCATCTACAACACTGATAAAATGCCACCTTGCATGTCATTTTTATTGCAAAGGTGCAGAGCAAGTTAAGTTGTGTACCCCACAGTCAGCAACATGGTATTTCTACATCCCATCCCGAGAGGGAAAGCTTAAAAATGAAACTGGCCTCGTTAGCGAGAAGGCCATCGAGAATCCAAATGACACACTCCCTGTGAAATGCTTTCTGAAAGTTAACATGTGTGGGAAAAAATGATGCAATGGGGCAAGTTATAGATTATCAGCCTTGTGCTCAGACGGGTAGTTTCAAATTATGAATGAAAAGCCATGCGCCTTTATTTCAAAGTGAAAAAGATTTCCCAAAGTGAGGCTACACCTGCAATTAAAGCAAAAACAGTCAGCCTCCCTCCCATGGATTTGGAGAGCCCACTCAAAAATGGCCATTTCATCAAGCCAAGCCTTTGTGATGATTTTATTCATTTTAAGCAGACTTGCTGCATCCCTGCAACGGGGTAAAATACACATGTCGCACAGAACAGCAGTTAGAAATCAGTTTGTGCCATCATACCAAGATGTGAAAAATGTTAAAGGTTGTGACTTGCTCTGCAGGATATTGGCGATGTCATTCATAATACTAACGCTGTGTTTATGTGAGGAATTTATTTGCAAGCAGAAGATATACTTTTTTTTACATACCAGGCACATGACCACTTCAGACCAATAAAAAGACAGAATTCAAGACCTGATAATATGAGGACTTTTACATGGAGGGCAGATTCACGTCTTACCATAGCCGGCTGTGCAAAGTCAATGTTGATGAGTTTGTACTTGGGGGATTTCAGGTTGGTTTTGAAGGTGAACAGCGTGCCTTCGTTGGTGATGTACTCGTACTCGGCGTCAAAGTTGTCGATCAGTTTCACCCAAGGCAGAATTCCTGATGACCATGAGAAAAAATGTCAGTTCCAGCTACAGTAATGTGAACTCCATTTGGGAAAAACAATCTTGATATGTATGGGGGCACTGAAAAACGTGGTTAAAACAAACTGAGACAGGAGGGGCTTGTAAGCAAGTGTTACTGCTGAGGCGTTGGACGTGACATTTGGAACATTTGAAGTATGCGTAACAAATACAAGCAGACTAAGCAATAACAATCTAATGACTATTTTATTTATCGACATTTTACAACTATCAATGATTCACAATCGTATTTTTTTTACTCACCAGTAATTTTATGCTTAGTCTTCTCCAAGTCACAATAATACAGACGGTTGACTGGGTCGCACCCTTGTCTGATGCTCAGAATGACATAACGACCATCATCACTCACTTCAGCACCGCTGGAAAAGAAGTCAGGAAATGCCTAGAGGTTAATAACGATAACAAATACATGTACCTTCATAGATGCAGTTTGTGAGTCTAGAAGTGGCTCTTCCTACATCTGAATACAGATCTATCCTTTGCTTAATTATAGGTGTACCTTAGCAGATAACAATGAGTCACTTTGGTAAACAAAAAATATTTTAGAATGGTAACAGTTTTTGTACAGCCCTTTTAACCAAGATCAAGCCATTTTCCATTATTACTACCCCTGTTCACTGGGCCCATGAAACATTCCAAATACCATCTCAGCTCTCTGGGGAGTCTACAGCTCAATGCAGTCATTTTGGCGCAGAGCGGCTAAATCGACCACACTACTCATGTCTGACCCTCACAGGGTACCCAAATACCCCTGGGTGGAGGAGAGGCACTGAGTGACAAAGTGCCTTGCCCGAGGGCACACGCACCATCACCCCAGGCTGGATTTGAACCCGTAACCGGGAACTCTACCCGCAGATATTAATTGAATGCTCTTTAACATGAGGCCACAGCACTCCCCTCCTATTTTGCAAAACTTGTCAAGTAGAAACAATCTGGCCCACTGTAAAGGCCACCAAATAACGACTTTCTGTCTGACTGACCTCAGCCATTTGGGGTTTTCGGGGAATTCTGCACACAGGACGTCCTCAGACTGGGCCGTACCGAGGACGTGGTACCTAAGCTTCTGGTTGACATTGGATGTTGTCTCAGTGCCGTCTGCCTTGCCCTCTTGTTTCTCATAGTACTGGGGGGAAAAAAGTTTCAAGAATGAGCCTTCCTAGAATAACCCTTACCCTCCAAAACCAAAACCCACCAGGGGATTTAGAGGGATTTTGAGGAACTGTGAGGCAGGCAGATTCCTGTCACTTCAGTGTTAGGGTCATTTGTGGCAAAATGAAGAGACGCGTCAAGACAGTCATTATAAATAATCCAGCAGTGTCCATTATGGGGAAAATTAATGTTTTCTTTGAGTTTCTTAAATAAACGTAAAATAAAGAAATCTCTGTATAAGGTACATGTATGTAAAAAAAGTGTGTGAGTGCATGCTTTACTTTTAGGACATAACCAAATGGACAGGACAGATTGTCCCTGTCGTCAGTGGTCAGTCTATTGTCCTCAGTAGTAAGTGCCTGTGTTGAGTCTGTGGGGAGAGTTTTAATGTAGGAACAACGGGAAGTATACAATGCTCCTTCCTGGCAGTAAAGCAAGACAAAATATTGTGGGTGGGCCTTCCTTAGGCTAAGGGGAAGATTTCAGTCGTTAAGAAGTTTGGCACCAAGTCAACTTTGTCTCAGTAACATTAATGGTCCCACAATGTCTGCATTTCAACATCTGTAGTCCCCCAACCCACTGACAAGAATGCGCGCATTCCTTGTGAGTATGAGATGACGCACACAATCCGAGTATATGAGATTCTGTGTGGGTACCAAGTGGGTGTCGCGTCAACCCAATGTCGGCCCAGTTGCTAGCACATATCATCACTTCCACAACAATGCCTCAGGATATATCTACCTACATTGTAAAAGAACCCTTTGCCGTCGTGAGTCCAGTCCATGCAGCTAAACTTGACTCTCTCTAGCATGTCTGGTAGAGGTTCCGCCTTGGCAACATCCATGAACTTAGAGAGAAAAAAAACAACTACATGTAAAGCTGAGACACAGCTTGCGTTTAAAATGTTTCAAACAGTTTGAAAGAAAGAGATTCAAAGTTTAATAGTGGCTGAAGTAGACCCTTTAGAAAAAAGCATCCAATTCCCAATCGTCTGCTTTCAACACGAATGTCAAGCTCCTTTTCTTCTACCCAACATCTGATTTAGAAGTCCAAGTCCTAAAGCGTTGGGCAGTTAGTTTTTCGTCCACGCGTTGTGAAATTTGGTCCTGAGTGTTAAGTTATTTGATTCAAATCCGAGTGCCGAGTCACCTGACTTGGCATGGAGTGTTAATCTATCTTAGTCAGTATTAAGCAATGGTTATATGGTCTGATAGTTGAGTCATTTGATGAGTCTAGATATTGAGTAACTTGACTCTAGTCTCGCTCTGGGTTACTTGCTTTGGGTAATACGGTTGAGCGACGTCTTTTGAGTCAATTTATTTCAGCCCACGTTGAATTAATGGTTTGAGTCTAAGTTTCAAACGGTCTTGACTAACTTGATTTGAGGGCAGTTATTTCAGTACGGCTCTGATGAGAAAGGTAACAATGACTCACTTTGATTGTGACCCAGTCTGATCCCCCGGTGCTCAGCCCATATGCCAAATAAGCCCCATCCTCCGAGAAAGAATGGCCTCTCAGGGCCACCGTACCATCCTCTGAGAATGTATTGGGGTCCAGAAACACTCTAGGTTCAGCTTCCAGGGTGTCTTGGACATACATGACACTGTGGATGGAAAGTAAAGAAAGGTTTAGTTCGCACTTTGGACATGTTTAAGGGATCCATGAAATGAATGTTTCTTAGAATCACTTTCTTTGTGTATCTCTGTTTTCTTCTTAAATGTATGAAGACAGTTTGACTTTGGTTTTGAGTTACGTGAACTAAAAAGAGCACTTTTTAAACTTTCCAAATTGAATTTATATGAGGAATTTGCCCTTACCCAACGTATATATTAATAAAACCTGTATGCTCAGTGCTTGTCCGAGAGCTTGCGAAAAAAGTCACAAGCTTACTCGGGTGGGCTCGAACCCATGACCTCCTGCTTACTAGTGCAGACGTCTTAACCACTCGACCACTGACAACGTCTGCACTAGTAAGCAGGAGGTCATGGGTTCGAGTCCCACCCGAGTAAGCTTGTGACTTTTTTTCGCAAGCTCTCGGACAAGCACTGAGCATACTGTGTTTATTAATATATACGTTGGGTGAGGGCAAAACCCATCATATAAATTTACATCTCCCCAATGCAAAAAAAAAAATACATCTTGAAAATAGTTCCCAGTTTCCAAATTGATCAAGCATTTCTGGACAAGTGAGAGCACTTTTCCTTTGATGTAAATCAAGGAACACATGGTTCAGTTTGCATGTTTTCATGTTCAAATTGTGAAAACATTTCTGTGAAAAGGCTGCTTGCTTGCCTATTGCCATATACTTACACAACAATAAATTGCCAAAGGAAATGAAATTTACAATAGCAGTGTTAAAATTTTTCTGTGCACAAATCAGAGCAACATTGAGGCTCGGTGCCTTGGATGACATCATTGTTTTGCTCATTAATATGCAAATGTGCATTAGCATAAAAACTAAAAAAGCTCCAAAATATGGGTTAATATTGCAAAACAAAAATTTCAAATCAAGTAAATTGAAACCCGGAGGTGCAATTTCAAGGGTTTTATTACAATTTAGTAAAATAATTCTATTTTATGGTCCCTTTAAATTTGCACAATTCTATTATTTTGAAGAGTGGCAGCTTTTGGTTTAGAAACTACCATAAAATTTGATAAACCCCCAACTTTCTGAGAATTTTTACCAGCTTATCAAATATTTCCCCAGTCTTCCACTTAGTGGGAAATAAATGGCATATTCTTTGTTCTTGAACCTCCAAGGGGAATCCGACCCAGTGTAAAGTGTGTGGATGCTACTTTCCTTCATCCTGCAAAATCGTGAAAAACCTCTAAGTAGATTTTCAAGTACCAGGGCCCGGTTCCATGGCGCTGTTAAGCACACAATTTTATGCTTACAGGGGCTCCACGTATTTCAGGGAGGCTGTAAGCAGTACGCACAGTAAAAAGCATGTTTACCTCAAAGGAAATGATCTGCCTTAGTGACCTAACAATGCAAACCTCCATGTGCGTGCACCTGTTAGCAAAACCACACCGAGCACCACCCTGAGATACTGATTACGGTTAGCAAAACTTTATGCTATAGGTAAGCATGACTTTTCTGCAAGCAGCTCCTTCGAATTGGGCCATACGGGGCTAGGGATACTGATATTAGCCACTCATGTAAATGATATTATAATATAAAATACATCAGTTAAAGCCCCAAAGCACCTGTTTCTTTTCCGTACAGAACTCACTTCCACGGTGCTGGTGGAGTTGATGAGACACTACCTGTAGGCTGCGTGTCTGTGGACTTACTTTTGGTTTTGCAGTCCAGTGTTCATGAAGTAGAAGTAGCGGGAGCCACGCTTGAAGGGGCAACCATACTTGGGAAAGTCCCAGAGTTCTTTCAGCCTGTTGAGGGAGAAATGACACAAGTCATTATGGACCATAAATTTCAATGAAGATGCAAGCTTTATAGTGCACCCCAAATTTACACCTGAGGAGACTTTTTTGCGACAAAGCTTTGACGTCAGGAAAATGAAACGATTTCACTGAATGAGATGCATGTGTCTCACAAATCGAATGCAACTACAGAACAAGGCAAGGGCTTAAGGTTAAAAAGAACAAAAGGCTTGGCTGTGAGAAGGTCAAAATCTCACTCATTCACAAAAACTACATTATTTAATGAGTTCAAAGAAGCTGGGTCTTTGATGCAGGGTTTTAAATCACTGAACATGTTGAAATAAACATCGCTTCCATAACAAGTTACTCCCTAGCTAAAGCAGGCATACCCTAAGCTTTAGATAGGCAAGTAGGGATAAAGTCGCCTGCCAGCAGCTGGATTTGAACCCTGAACCCCCTGGGTTTGAGTTACAAACCTTAACCACTAGGCTACTTGCATATATCGTCGAGTCACCCAACACCAACTTTTGAATTGTGACATTAACCTATCGTGAAATGGTTTCCTAGTGGTACATTTCTCCAGAAACGGCATGGTGAGGTCGTTCTGGGCATCAACAAAGGCTTTGGTCGCTTCGCTGTCTGGGTCCTCCAACCACGCGTAAGGGTCTGGCACCTGAAAACAATTATACACCACGGAATAAAATTGGAGTTCAGAGCTTTTTAGAACTTTTTAGCAATTGATACAACAATCTCTATCAGGGCAATGTGTGCTCGTTTGTGAGTGCCTTAAATCCTGAAGGGCTTCACATAATACCAGTGGTATTCCAGTTTCATTCATATCTCTCTATCTGCCGCTGGTAGGGGATAAGCAGTGCTGTACACTTAAAGGTAAAATGGGAGGCAGGCAGTATAAACATACTTATGATGGACCTCTGATATCCTTTAACCACTTCCTGCCGGGCGACTCGTTTTCAAGTACATAGGCTTTATATGCAGAGCCAGGGAGCCTGGAACTGGGACAAAAGAGTTGGGCCTTTTAACAAGAGACCCTGCTCAGCACAAAAGACTGAGCTGCTGGGCATTACCAACATTTTTCGCTCTCAATAGTGGAGAAAATCCAGCCTTGCTTTGAAACAGTATACCTAGATTTGAGGTATTTAGAGCAAGCGGATTACCACCGGGGACAAAAGCTCTCCACCACCGCAGCGATGAGCCACACAGCACCACTGCATGCTAATCTGGCCCCTATTGAAAAGAGGTCAGCAGTGCACTGTGTCGGTTTCGGGGACAAATGCATCTTACAAAAGACCGCACAATCTGGGCTCTTTTTCCAAGGCTGCAGGCCGGGCTGAAATATTCAGGAGTCAATGAATTTTACCTGTCAGCTTTAGAGTAGTGCCCAAAGAGTCCTTCATTTTGGTATAAATGGCCATTAAATGAAATGATGAATTTCTGAAGAACTTTGAAAACGGAAAATCCTGAAATCGAGCCGGCATCTTGTCTGGCTCAAGAAAAATCCACCCGGCAGCAAGTGGTTAAAGATACCTGATCTAAATATTCAAAGGAAAAAGTATGTATACATGTATGAGAAATGAATTCAAATTAAAAATTTTGCCTTACTCAAAATGGTCATCCACCAACTTTGGACATATATTTATTTGCATGTTTTATTTGCCTGTTTTTTAATTTCCGCAGAAAAAAATCTTTCTTTTTGTCTTACATTCAAAATTCTCTTTGTGACATGCATCTTCAAACAAAATGTTTGATCAAAATTTCTCAAGAAAACATTTTTACAACATTTCTTTTTCCTTCAATTTTGAGAGGCTACAGAAGAATTTGTCAACCTGGTCGCGAGTACCAGGTAAATTCATTTGGAACCATGCGATTCCCCTTTAATATTAACAGTCAGGTGCTCAGATACTGGGATCCAATGCACTGTTGCACATCCCGATTGGCAAACTCAAGGGTTACTTTGGAAAATCAGTGGGAACATCAATGTACATGCTGCATGTACATATACATGCATGGACCCAAAGAATGGACTCTGTGTGTGTGTGCTAATGGTGCATGCATGGTGTACACCAATATGCATCAGTGATCAAATGGGCATGCAGAATTTTGACTTTGTCCAAGGCCATTTTTATTTTATTTGGAGAGCGCTGATTAAAAGCATCACTGATTGAAGTGTAACAGTGACAGTGGCCACCCATTTTAGTTTGCCCGATTTTCCGATTTTTTTCAATGTGCGGAATGACCTGTTTTAAAATGTGCCCCTCAAAAAGGAAAAGAATTTTCTGACGAACTTGTGGATGGGTATTTGAGCGGAAGTGGGCCTAATGATGCTTTACAAGGATTCATCAACTTCAAAGGATTTTGTAAATGTTTATGTGGAATTTTCTGAGTTTTTTCAAGTGCGCCACGTTAGGGAACACTCAGCTGAAATTAAGCCCAATTTTTGAACACCGACAGTTTTGGATTTTGAAAGAAATTTCATGACACTGAAATTGTTCAAAAGAGTTCAACATCATGTACCATGAAGTTAGGCCTAGCAGTTTACATGTACAACCAAATGAGTTTTAAGTTTTCAAGAAAGAGGGTTGGCAACACTGTGTGAGGAAAGTCATGTGAACATCAAAGTGTGCCACGTTAGGGACTCTACTAAATTAGCCCCTCATTTAAAATTCCCACGTAAACAAAGCCATGTCTGTCCCACCTCCGTTTTAACTTAGTGTAATACAAGCTCCGCCCTTCCCATGCTTCCTGACATCCCCTCCTTCCTCCATGCCTGAATCAACAGGCAACCATGACAACCCTTAAGTAAGGGCTGGAAAACTAGTTACTTTACTAGCACTGATATAATACCAAGTTTGGCCACAGCCACTTTCTGATTTAATATATCCTATCGCTACTGTTACCATAGCAACTCCTGTACCACAGCAGCTGCAATGAACCGAAACAACTTGTACATTAGTACATGTCATTAGTATGTTCTATGTTCACCTGTAGCCAGTACATGTACATGTAGCTGTGGCAATGGCACGTGAAGTGAGTGATGGTGATACCATGGAGGTAGAATGTTCAAGTACATGTAGTCTCCAATACCAAGCATGGCAAGCGGAGGTAAAAAATGCAATTCAGGAAATCACTTTCTGATCAAAATTCACAATGTCACTTACTTTTGTGCCATGGTAATCGTCAACGACAGTCTCGTCTCTTCGTACTTCTGGATATTTAATCATTTTGAAAGCAGTGAAATGAAAGAACACCGACAACATGAACACTAGGCTAGGGAATACGGGACGACTGGTACTCGGCATACATTAAGCATTATATTGGGGAAAGGTTCAACGAAACCAGTGAAATGTATTTACAATAATTAAACGAGTCAGCAGAGGGGGCAGGTCAAAATACGTGAAATAAAATAATGTAAAATTACATGCAAGTGACTACTTCAAGAAGGGTGGACATGGTAAATACTCGAAGTTATGAGGTAAATTACCGAATGTCCCACGATCTGGCAAAGACCACGACACCAGACTTTTATTACTTTAATGGACCCGTGTTTGGGGGCTTGAAAAAAGTTAGGCTGTTAGGCCTTGTGGCCTGGCCGGCTAGGAGCTATCGTTACTTAGCTTAGCCTCGGGTGTTCATACCTGTGCAGGTGGTTCGGACCGTTACGTGGTATCCATGATCGCATAATGGCATTGGCACGGTACACCATCATGACCACGGAGGTAGTTTTTGTGTAGACATGCCATTGGTAGACCGTGGGCAGACGAGTCACGGGCTCGGAAGGAAAGTCAAAGCACTGTGGTCACAGAGAAATAAGAAGACACTACCAGTGCACCATGGAGGAAGGACACAAACCCTTCCACCATGCAACCGCTGAGTACCACACAGCATGGAGCCATCTTAATTATTTTATGAAATGATATTACTGTGAACGTTGAGTTTTATGAACAGGAAGATTTGTAAAACCATGGTAAAACATAACCAGAATCATCTGATCATGGGCTAGGCTACCACGAACAACTTTTTCCGAAGAGAGTTTCACTTTTTCTCCAGTTGAACAGACATATCTTTGAAGAAAATGCACCGTGCAATGTTGTTCAGTGGTGAGCACGTGGTTGCCACATAGGCCTACACAACTCTTTGCCTGTGTTAATATTATTTATATTTTTCCATAATATCCAATAAGTGAAACATGCATTGGCTACATGCATTGTTTGGCGTGCACAAGGGATTATACACTGTGAACACAGGGCGAGGGTTCCCCTCGTTTTCTCTGAATTGTGCAATCTACATTCAGAATTCACATCTTTACATGAACAGAAAAGAAGCCCTTCTTAGCTTGTTATAGTTGAGCTCTGAAGGCAAGTGGCACTGCGTTTGATTTGGATGCTTCCATATTCATGTATACTGATAAAATCAGAGAAAAACATTTTTTTTCCTTAGAGGTGCTCTTTAAACCCAAAGTGAGGATTGCTGTTAGCAACTAGAGCCTAGGAGGCGTACCCCTAGAGCTTTGGGGATAGTTATGGAGGTAAGGTAGTAATTCTAGAGGTTAGAGCTTTCGGATGTTTCATTCCATTTCTTTCCCACCTCACAGATGATGGCATCCGCCCACCAAACATGAAGACAAGGAAAGGTTGAACTGTCGGAGTCAACCACCCATCCGTACAAAGCCACCGACATCACTTGCTTGGTCAGGCCAGACCTCAGAACACTAAGACAGAGCAGCACCTCAGTCTGTAACCAGCGAGCCGGCCCTAATGTCAGCTCCATGGAGATGTACGACAAAGTGACCACCCTGGGGACAGGGTCGGGGGGAGCTGTGTATCTGGTCCGACACAAAGAAACAAAAAAGTAAGCCAGCAGTTTAGGGGGGGTTGGTGCCATTTAGAGAAACTTTAAGCCTGGAATTTGTGTAAAATTCCTACAACTGCAAATCCATCAAATAAAATCTGCTACTGGGACGTTGGGAAAATGATGGAGGATTGGGGAAGGTACATGTATGTGTACATTCTCGTTGACAGTGCATTGGGCCTGTTGCCTTAATTTTATGTAATGGTCTTCAAGATCGCACAGGGTTTGAAAGCACAAGCTTACGGTATTTGCAAGATTTGATTGTGACGTCATGCTGTAAGTGTAACTTCATAGTCCGTACATAGTCAAGATACTTTTAATCTACTTGTCCCCTCAATTTCATAGTTGAAATGATAGCATTTGCCATTGCTGGTCAAAGGGTAGATCCAGAGGCCAATGTTATTAGAGGAGGGCAAAATTAGTTGTCTTTATTTTCACTTGTTTTTTTCTGAGAGTTGAGGCAATATTTTTAGGCTTTTTATATGCTTAAGGAAGAGAAGTTTGCCCTTTTCTGATTGCCCCCCCAAATTGGTCTAGTTTTTTTTATTTTTTTGGAGATAGTCCCCCTTGCCCCTGATCAACATTTCTTGGAGTGGAATTTCTTGTGACACCACTAAACATGTACATGTATTAAGAAAGAAGACAAATTTAAACATTCAATTAAATCATATTTTTTCCCATTTCCACTCTAGCTGAATAATGGTGTTCCCTGTACCTTTTAAGCTACATTTTGGAATTGGTGTGTTGTACTTCCACTTTTTTAGAAGTACAATAAATCATACTTTTTGTCAAATTTTCTGGTGAATGCCTTTATTTGGTTTCTGCACATTTGTGTCATGTGCTTGAATATTTGAGACAAAATCAGTGCTTCAGAAGTTAACAGAAATGTGAATGTGTTAAAGGTTACAGGCTCTGAAAAAGATACAGTTGGACGAGAAGCGCAAGACGCGCACCAGGGAGGCAGTGCAGCGCGAGGCCAGCATCCTGTCTGAACTCAGACACCCTCACATTGTCACCTACTATGAGTCCTTCTTTGAGGAGACCCCTGAAGCCGTGCACCTCTGCATTGTCCAGGTGAATTTGGACCCCTAATTTCTGGAATTACCCACATAGGACCTATTTCTTCAACCTGAGATGGAAGTCAGTTATAGTCTCATAATGTAGAGGATGGAAGCTAGACAACTGCATGTTTTTTTCCCTTTCTTTTGATGGTAAAGTGTGACCATTGCAATAAAATTCTTTCCCCACATTTCTTAAGTGTAGCTATCACAAATCTGCTTACGACCAGACTTCCCTTACCAGCCATTGAAAATTACGAAAGTATAATTTCAGAAGTTTTCCTGTATTTGTTAGACCCTCAAAACAAACCACCATTCCAAATTCTTTATGTGAGAAAGTTGGACAAACCCCCTTGGCAACTTGTATGTACTAAAACCCACTTGCTTGAGCTTTGTTGGTAGTGCACTGGAGCAGCAGTCCAGAGATCCAAGGTGCATATCCAAAATTCCAAATTTGTAACTGATCGAAGTTTGGCCAACATTTCTACACTGGAAACCTCTCAAACAAGATTTCTTAGTGGTGCACTGTAAAAGCAGTCCAGCGGTCCCAGGTGCAGATCCTGATCAAGTCTGTTGTTGTTTTGAATAATTCCACCGCACAGGATTATTGTGATGGCGGTAACCTAGATGAGAGGATTCTTAGACACAAGAGTCGAGGCGAGAGCCTGGAGGAAGGCCAAATCATGCAATGGTTCATTCAGCTCCTCATGGCTGTGCAGTACATACACTCCTTGAAAATACTACACAGGTTAGCATGCTTTGCGGCTGTCTGTAATAACCCCAACCCTCTCGTCACCATTTAGGGGGATACCTTAGCTGGCAGTCCTTGGCCTGAACGTTCTGTCGACCTTATCTTTTCTCTTTTTCATTTTTCAGCAAATTCTGCGTTCAAAGCTAGTGTGTTACTTATTGCACTTTCTGCTTGTGTAACCGACAAAGCATCACCTAACAGAAAATCGTGGGCTTTCTTGACCATGCATCACCTGGAATGTGTCCCATTTTCTAGATTGAAAAATTGCATTCAGTTGATTTTCTGAAGTAGTCTCATTGTTCTCCTTTTTTCATCTTTCTTGCATCACTTTATAAGATTGTCACAGAATTTACAAGATCTGTCGTATTTATTTACAGAGATTTGAAGGCCCAGAATGTCTTTCTAACCAAGAAGAACATGGTGAAGTTAGGTGAGTTGATGCCATGAACCATGTCAGTGATGAGGGGTAGTTTGAAATTCTTATGAGCGACTCAAGCTGTGGAGTGTAGACATAACCAGCCAAACCCCCCAACCTGCCAAACGCGATCCTGAATGTATACATCACAGTGACTATGCCAAGATGTTGTAGAGTATGCATTTCCAATTATGAGAATCTTGTTTCATATAGACTTGGGCTAAACAGTTTGTGTTTCCTCATGCAAAAGAACGGTTACTCCATCAATTCAGAAACGAGCTGGTTCAACAGTATTTTGAAGAAGCCGAGTCCACTACAGGCAATAACATGGAATGCATCATGTTAATGCAGTGGCATAGGTCAGTTTCATTAAGCATCCACTTCAGAAATCACCAAACAGGTGACTACTGAAGTTGCCATGACTGGCAGTGGTAACTGGCATATCCAGCTAGTTGTGAGTGGAACTGGAATTTATTTTATACTGTTTGGTTGTTCCTTTCATGTTGCACGTGTGGTCGTTTGTTTCTGCTCGGTTTGCAGGTGATTTTGGCATAGCAAGGACATTAGAGCACACCATTGACAAAGCGAGCACATGCGTGGGCACACCATGCTACCTCAGTCCAGAGCTCTGCCAAGACATCCCGTACAACAACAAGTCTGACATATGGGTAGGTCTTCACTGTGTGATCAGATCATCCAATGAAAGTAGAGATGTGTCTGGACCTTACTTTTCCCCCTTTGTACAGAGGGGAGCACATTTATATAATTAACCATAAGGAGGTTACATCTTTTGGTGCAGGAATAGCTGTGAGACGTAGGTTTCTACCTTGGATGACATCACAGTTTCGCTCATAAATATGCAGATTTCATCAGCACAAAAACTAATAATAATAAAATGCCAAAAACAACTGGCACAAAAACTTGAAAATCAGGTTGGGAACATTTACGAGAACTGGTAAAAAAATATTTTATTGCCTGGGTCTTTAATGGAAATATTGTGACGAAAGCGGATTGCAAGGACTAGAGGAAACAATGAAATTTTTTGAGGTGTCCGCCTTAGGCCTGAGCAAAAGCCAAGACTATCTAAAAGTTTTGGCTGTGGCTTACGATAAATCACATGTCAGTGTGTCATATAGCAACAAGCCAGTAACTTCCACGATACTGCATTCCCAGCTTCAGCTAGGACTATTGAACACAGCCAAAATGTAACTCTCTGCCCCAGATCTTGACACTGTCTTGTAGGCAACCTGATGGCCAGTGACTTACCCTTGATGTTTTGTTGATTGGAACGAAAAGAATGGAAAGAAATGGCCCCTTTTTATGTGAGCAGTAGGAAACTGAATGCCGCTGTGCACATACGCGAGTGTCTACTCAGTATCATTGATTTGCTAGTAATTGATAGTTTTCGCTTCTTTTCCCTGTGTTTTAAAGGCATTAGGATGCCTTCTTTTTGAGATGTGTGCCTTTGCTCCAGCCTTTGATGCCAACAATCTCATCAGCCTCTTCTATAAGATCGTCAAGTGTGAATATGCAGTGAGTATCGAAATAATTGGTGAAGCATTAATGACTGCTAGCTGCCCAATAAAACCCACATTTAAAAAAAACTCAGCCAGTTTGTCAGAAGGCAGCGTCCCTAGACTGATACCCTGTCATAGATTAGTATTACCTGTGCCTTCATGCCTGCTGCAGTATCATTGGTCTGTGAGTCCCACGTACGTAGTCTGTGAGTTCTCAATTCTCAGAAAACACCCGAATAAATCCCTGTCATCTGATTGGTGAGTCAACGATCATAAATCATAGACTTATTCAGTGTATCTATCAGTGTAACTATTGAATGTATCCCATGGATTGAATAGATCTTTGAAGTGTACCAGGGGTGAGATTGGTCAGGATTTTTTTCAGAAAGTTTTTCCTGATTTGAGGGCTTTGTTTCAAACAATCTCTTTTAAAATCTGGAAACCTGTGAATTTCCCCCAGACGTGTTTCTATGAAAGTTGATATGGTACAAACATTTTTAAGGGGTGCCTTTTAGCAAAGACAGAAGTGTACCGTTGACCCTACACTGCTGTGGCCCTCAAAACCTCTGGTGAACATGTAGTGGACATTTCAGTTTGCTCCAATCTCGCCCCTGCAGCACGCAAGCACGGTAGGCACAGTCCCTAACCCTTCACATAGGCCAAGAACGCTGTACCACATGCTCTCTGAGAAGGTGCAACTGTGGCTCCTTATGCAGACAAAATTTCAGTATTGGCTCATCAAATCCTGAAAACTTCAGGTTACATTTTTATGCTGTCGACATATTGAAATTCTATTCTACATGATTCCTCATGGAATAATAACATTCAGCATGTCACCACATGAAATTATTCCGACCACTGCACTCATACATGTTCAGTGTTTGTATAACATGTGTACATGCTACATATTTAAATTTGGTTACATGTACCTTCCATTGTAGGTCATCGAGACCGTCACCCATTGGCTGGTCAACACTGAAATGTGCATAATTGTAATAAATTACAGGATTCAGTAATAACTATGTTAGTTCGTTATTGCTTCAACTAAATTGCCAAATTTGTCCTGGTTTATACGGAGTTAGATCAACCAGTGAAAGCCTGAATTGGGTTTCCCCCGGCTTTTGCCAACAGGAAATTCCGTCCATGTACTCAGATGAAATGAAGCAGCTGATTGCAGCAATCTTAGTCAAGGAACCAGACCAAAGACCAGGGTAAGTTTTTGGTAATTACAGCATCCATACATGGTCATTGTAGATTGGAGGAATGGAGGGGGGAGGTCAGATGCATGTTGCATTTTTCTTTGGAGTCTGTGGTAAAAATTGCAATTTTAGTGTATTCTAATGAGAATATTTGTGGTACCAGTGGCTAGGTGTGCTCTCCTCTTAAAAAGACATTAAAATGACATTCATTTGGAAACACTAGATTTTTGTGCATGTTTAATTCGATATAGTTTGTGCATATTCAGATTAAGTCGTAGTGGATTTGTGCACATTTTAGTTAAAACTACTATGGACTTTTTCTCATTCAGTTTAAAAAGGCTAAGGGTTTTTGCTCATTCTGTTGAAGATACTGAGTTTGTGCACATCGGGTTGAAAACACTACAAGCTGGTGCATAAAAAAGACATGGATTTGTGCAAATTTAGTTGTAGAGACCTAAGGTTTGTGCACATTCAAGCGAAGGGACCTAGGGTTTGTGCACATTCAGTTGAAGAGACTCAGGGTTTGTGCAGATTCAGTCAAAGAGACTTAGGGTTTGTGCACATTCAGTTGAAAACACTACAAGATGGTGCATATTCAGTTAAAGACATGGGTTTGTGCACATTCTGTTGGAGATGTTAAATGTTTGTGCACATTCAGCTGAAACAAAAGGAGGTGCACCCACTGTGCATTACTTGTTATGTTCCTAGTTGCATCTCCTGAGTAGTGTACACACGATTAAAGTAAGACACCTTCTTTCACAGAGTTCATATTGTTCTTATTCAATTTTCCATCAGAGCAAGTGCTCTTCTAGCTTTTCCCATCGTCCAAAAGCACCTGAACCTTTTCATTACCGAGAAGGAAGGACAGTGGCAGCAAGTCCTACTGGTGAGACAGTCGGTGGAGTCCAACTCCTCGGATAACAGCAGCAAAGTGAATAAGAAGGGAGACCACAGCCACAATGCAGGTGAGCTTGGGGGTTCAGTTGGTGCTAGGTTATTTAGAATTGATTGAAATTTGGTATCTATGAAGACAGTGCTGAATATATCTGTAAAGTCTATGTTGAGCTTGTTTGATCATAGATCATTCAATTGTGTCCCCCAAATACCTACAAATACCTTTTTTACCATTCACTCCATCATTGTGCACAATTGATCACCTCAGGAGGCTAGTTATAATCTACATATACTACTTGTAACAGTCACTTTCTGCATGCTATGGTGTTTGCAGGAGCATTTATGTATTTCTAATTGAATATTCAATGGTTTATGCTCAACTGTGTTTTATCAGAATGGTTTCGAATTTCACAAAGTTGGTGTCGAAATGGACATTGTCAGTGAAAATATTCTGAAGAAAGGCTTGGCATGAAACTTCACCGTGCGACAGGAGTGTTGGAAAAAGATACTTGGGTGAATTTGAACGTTGATCTATGAGGGATGGAGGAGTTTTGTGAGTGTCACCAGTAGAAATGTTTGCTATTGGTCGGCGGTGAACATGTCTCTTTGTGACTTTGTCCACTACCCAGAAACAGCCACCAGAAGGTCCTTGGAACCCAAGGATTCCGGGGAATATTCAGACGACTTCTCCAGCAGTGAGAATGATGGGGACGAAGACGACAATGATGACGAAGTGGTGGATGAGGTGCTCAGTGAATGCAGCAGCAAGAACGCAGACGAGGACATCGAAGGCAAATTTCCTCATTTGCTTTTCCTCAGAGTTGCAGTTGAACACTTTCCAAGTACCAAGTTTACTACCAAATATCAAGATGGGGCAATACATACTTGGCAAACATGACAGACTTTAGACAATCAGTATCTTGCATGAACTAAAAGCTTTTAAGACGCGCTTCCAAAGAGCGCCCCACTTAAGCCACAGTTTATCACAGAAGCTGTTCAGCGAAGTATGACACATTTGATTCATTGTCCATGGCATAAGTCTGTGACCGGTATAACAAATTCTTTGGGGTGGCTTAAATTGCACCGGACAAATCGGAAATGAAAGCTTTTACTAAATATTTTAGTTTCATGCTCACCTTTTCAAGGTTCATACGTACAATGCACAGCTTCAGGTTTTTTTTAAGGGGGGTGGGTATGAAATACTTGTTTGGATGCCAGAGAACTTTTGAGATTTGCTGCCCGCGTCTTGTAAAGAAAAGACGAAAATCTTTTACAAGGGTAGGTGGAGCCAATTCAGCAACTGCTTCATGATTGTTGTAAGCTTGTAGAGGAACAGCCTTTGGAAAAGCTGTGGTTGACCTTGCTCAAGATATTTAAAATAATCAAAATGTTGTGACGCCGAGCACGTTTTTGTCAAATTGACCAAACGTACTTTGTGCAGCTCTACTGTGCATTGGTTGAGTCTTTTCGTATCGTGCAACGTTATGCCAGCTTTCATTGATTCAGCTGGAGGTGGATTTTGAAGAACCTGGGGAGGGTCAGGTTTCAGGAAGGTAGAGCCCAGCTACTGTTACTTTACATGAAGCTTGTTGCTATTGGAAAGTTTGGGAATTTGGTAACATTTTGCGGCCGGTGTGCCTCCGTAAAGGTTCCATTTTTTTGGTTAATACCATGAGCATCATTGGAGGGGGGTGTGGGAGTTAAAAAATTAACAAATCATGAGAAAGAAGAGAAAAAGAATGAAAAACAAAGGGGTTAAAGGGATGAAAATCATAAATCTACTTGAAAATACCTTGCAGTCAACCCAATATTCCACGTTAATGGTTTGTCAGTTTCCAGCTGAGTATTTCCCCCCCCCCCATAGCAAAGCCTAGCAATGCCCGTGGTTAAATGCTGTTGTATTCCTCTAATCACTAAACCACTTCTCACGTCAATACAGAGATCGTGGAAGAAGTTGTTGGCAGCTGCAGTGATGATGACAATGATGACGAGGACGCAGACCCGCCCCAAGGGCTGTTAAGCCCCTCCCCTCACCCCTCAGCTGCCACGCCCTCTCCACAAAGAGGAGGGAAGACTCCAAGCCCTCTAGCCCAGCCGGGGGAACAAGAGTATGCCGACGACTTTGAGGATGTGGACTCAGACGAGGTATGAATTCTGGAAACTAGCTTGGGGCTGGAATAAGCCAGGCTTTATTGCCGTAATATTCAGTTGAGATGCCCAGGCATTTGCCTCAAACTGACAATTTTTGAGGCCCCAAAACTGTCTCAATTAACCCATCTTAAAAATCACAGGGATCCAACATACGTGTTTTTAAATTAAAAGACATCATAAAAGAAAATAGAATTTGTGGCGGTGACCCAGGACCTTAGTTTTGGTGTACATCGATGTGTTTCAAAAAACAATTTTAAGCTGATTGGCTTGAATGAAGTGGCTAGCTCTTGTCTTTGTACTCATTATAATTTGCACCCTACTTTAGATATTCTGTAACCGCTCCATCAGTATTAAATCTAACAGTCATCTATAAGAAAGATTAACCATCTTTCTCAGTGTTGTAAGATTTGCCGATACTTTATCAGGCATGGAGATATATGTTGTTCCAAAGCGGATCCCCTCCTGGTTTTTTTCAAATAATGAAAGTTGATTTTTCCTCGTCAGTTCTCTTTCAAAAGCATGCAAAAAGACTTGAAATGTTGCCTCACTTCTCAGAAAGGCCATAAAGGTCCTGCCTCTGCAGTTTGCATGCACTTTGCTTTGCTGGCAATCTTATAAATGGATGGGGACCGTGCTAGAGAAGAAAATGATGTATTTTGCTGTGGAATGAAATCTTGGCAGATGTCTGATTTGAAGGCCCGTCGAAGGCTGTTAGGGACAAAATGTTGACTGATCTATGTAGTTGGTTTGTGTCTTGCCAGCAGAACTTGGAAGAGATCTTAAGCCATGCTCGCACGGCTGTTGGGGTAGAGGCCAACTACGAGGATGACTTTGAAGACGAGATGGAAGAGGAACAACGGCCCGCCTCCCGCTGCAGACAGCTGCTCAGAGAGTAAGTCAGCCGAGAGTCAGTCAATCGATGGGTCAATCAGTTGGTCGGTCAGTCAGACACTGCACTGGCAGATCAAGATAGGTTGGGAAGACAGTGAATTGCTTGTGTCTATATTAAGGGAAATTATCGCTCAGCAGAAGGCAGGGAACCAGTCACGGTTAGTAATTATTGCATGCCACTTTTGGGTAACCAGTTTTTGATAAACAATTGTTGTCGTGATCCCTTATTGATCTCTGTGCCGTGCAGAGATGGACTTTACTGAAAGTTGTTGTGAACTTAACCCCTTCGGGCCGGGAGGCGGCTAGACACGCCATAAAAATTGAGATCCTGAGCCCGCTTTTCAACTATTATTCTCGGCCATGCTCGAGCGAACACAGTGAAAGAAGGCAGATCCTGGCTCTTGTATATATGGTAATTGGTCTTTGTGCGTAGCCCAGAAATGAAAAGACCGAATTTGTATCATAATCACCAGATTCACAATAGTCCCCACTTTGAAAAGAGGCAACAGGAATGTGGAAGGGTGAGTAGAGCCGCATGCCACCGAACAATCAGCCTTTTCACCGTGTAATTCAAAGCGTGCAGAGCACGCAGGGCCACAAACCGAGAATTTGCGGTTTGGCAGGTGGCCTTCGTGGCCAAGCAAGGCTGGAATTCTTGGAGTTGGCTTTCGGCAAGAAATTCCCGCCGTCAAGGAGTTAAGAGATTTCCATGCTTTGTACAGCTGTTTTCAACCTGCTTTGACAATAGGTTTAAAACTACCTATTAAGCCAGCACTGAGATCAGGTAATAACAGAGAGCTATATTAAATTACTACAGTGCTAACTTGTCTTTCCCTGTTGCAGGGAAGCTTTGATTTTTTTAATTTATGTGTCTTTATGGACATAATAAAATAAGATGGAACAAGTGCCTAACCGTAGTCCAAATGCAATGTACAAGTACACCATTCTCCTGTTTCCTGTCTTTGGATTTGATGTGAGCAGCATATATGCACTTGTCTGCGACGGGCACATCATTTTAGAAGACGCAGATATGCAAATAGCAAAAACAATTCAAGTTTTCCATAGATTTGTGCACAACCTTGGATCCATCCAGCAGGGTTCACTTCGCGCTCTAGTAGGTATATAGTTCTACTGGTGATAATGAAGAGACTTGTGCCTCGGTGATATGTTTGATTGGATGTACAGCGTATGAGTGTGCCAGCCATTTTTATCTCGTTATCTCACTCTTGGTCTCTTGCAGGCATTGCATTGATTCCCTTGGGGAGGAGGTTTTTGCCAAGATCCAGGCACAGTGCGGCAAGCGTGTGTCCTCCAGCCCCGAGGATCTGTCGCAGGACATGATCAGGTAGGCACAGCACACGCAGAAAAAGGGTCATTGATTCCTGCCGTTTCTCTGTGCACAAGCCAATGCAGCATTGAGGTGCTCTCCGTGGAATGACAATACTGTTTTACTCATGAATCTGGAAATTGACGTGAGCATAAAAACCCAAAAGGAAGCAAATTACCTTTTAAAAACAGACCAAATTTTGGAAACAAGTGAGCAAAACACAAAGGTGCTTTGCATAGACTCTTTAAGGTTGTGATGACTACCCCACAACAAAGCACCCAAGTAATTGATAGTTAAATGATGGGTACCTAGTCCTTTGGGGGGACGGTTAGCTTACATGTATTAACCCTAACCTTCCCCAACCACACAGAATTGAACACCGGTAAAGTGTGTGAATTTGTGGCACTGGGTACTGTACCCCTAAACTGCTTGTGCTTTAACCTGGGTTCAGGCATACCCAAAATAAACAGAGTCCAACAGTTTTTGTGCACAGTTTACCATATGGTGTTGGAATTTGTGTGAATGGGTATGGTTCCTAGTAAATCACTCTGGGGAGGTAGGGTTAAAAACAGCTGCTTTGGTTTGATATGATAGGACTGAATGAGATGTACAGCAATTGATTTTGTGAATTCATTCCACGTGGGCAGTGATGCAGTTGAGCCCACTTCATCCAAGCCGAGCTGTGTCCATAGTCTTAATTCCAAGTCAAGCCCAAGTTCATTATATGTCTGAGTCCAGCCCAAGTCCATTTCCAAATTGTCTGGTCCAAGGCAAGTCCAGGTCCAGTTGTGAAATGGCTGTTGCAGCAGATTACAATGTACATGAATCAGTCACTAGAATGACCAAGATTGAGTGAATGGACACTCGTGCTCATTTGTACACCGAGGATGCTGTAGATTACATGAATCAGTCACTAGAATGACCAAGATTGGGTGAATGGATACTCGCACTCATAGGTACACCGAGGATGCTACAGGGGCAAATGTTCTGCGTCTAAAAGAGATTTTTGCCTGGCAAAACTGAATGTACAATCAAATGACAGACTCCGGGCTGTGTTTAAAAATGAGTTCTACTCTTTCTTCATGCATGTTTAGGGCAGTTCCAAGGAAACATCAACCTCTGGGCCAAAATATCATTTTGAAGCTTATGGTGTACACTTTCATGAAACATACTTCATTTCTAACAACATTCAAGAATTTGGCTTTTATAAGATACTGAAAAATTGGTTTTAAATACTGAGAAATTGGGGAAAATGTTTCCTCTCTGAAAGATTTTCTGTTTTTCAGCCTTATAATAATTTTTTTGTTCCAGTTTTGTTACAGTTTGAAGAGTGCCCCAATAAGTAAACAATGACAGAAATGAATTTTCATTTTCCTTTTGAAATTCTATGTAATGTCTTATTTTATAACACTTACTTTTCTTATGTACGTTCAACACCAAAATGACATAATTTTTTATTCCCTCAGTGCACCCTTTAACAAAAGACTGCCAAATTGACAATACAAAGCACAATGAGTTGTGTACATCCGACACCCTGTACGTCAGACACTGTCAGAACCATACATTACTGGCAATGCAATGCTTTTACATTGTACAGAAACCACTACCACCTCATTTGCATACATGGAAATGAGGCCCCAACCTTTTGTAAACCAAATAGGCTTCACTTTTGTTGTTTACTAATTTGCATAAATTTGACTATTTGGACATACTCATCCTAATAAGGTCCTAATTAGGGCTCAAAACCATTCCACATGTGTCATGTGTGGACAAACATGTACTTTGCATGTATTCAGAAGTAAACCATGTCAGTGTGAGCTTTGATGAAGACAAGTTCTAGGTGTTGTATACATGTACATGTGATCCACATCAAGAAAGAAGAATTGTCAAAGACTAAACAAAGGTGTGTTTTTTTTATACCTTTGTTCAAGGTACATGTAAAATCAATTGGTTTCACTTTGTGTTGCTTGAGGAATTAAAGGGGGTGTTCCACTTGTATGCTTCCATGGCATATACATGTACAGTATCTATCATAAAACATACATGTACAATGTAAGACTGTAGTTTTAAAATCATTATGCCATTAGTCTTAAATTTCAGTGAAAAGGATAATCTCTCAGCCTAATTGCTAGCCCATTCCTTTGATTGTGTAGTCATCTAAAAGGACATCTACTCATTTAGCTTCTTTTTGGATTTTACATGTGAACTATAACCTGTGAAGTGTGAACTGGAAATCTTTACAATTGCAGCTTAGTACACACGCAGCATTTGTCATACAAAAATGTTTAATTTCATGTTCTAAGACCAAAAGACCTTACAGGTACATGTATGCAATTGTCTTTCAATTTGATTTATTTATCTAAAGGATTGTCAACTGTAGAAAACTTTTTTTTTAGTTTGAATGTTTGACAGTACGTGACTTGTTTAAATGAGCAAATATTGCATATATACTTCTAGACAATGTTTTCCTTCATACTGTTTCCCTTAATACCCCATCATCCAGTTCCTTTCCAGTTGCTTTTGATGATTTTTGTATGGCTTGGCATTTTCTTTTGGTTTGGAAAGTTTACTAAAGCCTTCATGAAGGTAGAAAAATGAGACAAGCTTGGGTTTGAACTGATAACCTTTTATTCTGAAAAGTCAGTTTGGACGTGTACGTCCGACTCCAAAAAAATGTACGTCCGACACCAATATAGTAAATGCTTTATCTGAAAGTCACAAGATAAAAATGTGTCTTGCCTTGACGTTTATTAACAAGGGTCTGCTAAAACTAAACACAGGAAAACTACTTCTTCAGATCCTAGCATTTCACAGAGTTTGTAATACAAAAATAGAAACTCAAAATTTAACTTTCTCTGAGTACGTCCAACACCATGGTGTTATGAGTCAGTTTCAACAAGGATAGTAATTCTGAGTGAGAAGTTTTGTTCTTAAATGAATGTACCAACTAGCTGATGTCTTTTATCAAAATCAAAATCTGCTTCAGGATTATAAGTATAATAACACACACTGTTGAAGTGTCCAAAATGTGCATCCGACACCGTGGAACTGCCCTTTTAATAGTTTGAAATTGACTTGATTTGAGTCCCACAGGTTGTCCGAGATGGTCACTTGCCGATTCCAAAAAAGAAGATCAGCCCTTTTTTAATGACTGTTTCTTTTTTGCTTTTAAATCTTTGCAGCCTTCAGCTGAAACACACCGTTGAGAATGAGCACTTGGAGACGTGCTACCTGGTCAGTGAGTTACTTGGGGAGACAGCTGCAACATAAATAAGTGTTTCTCGGTCTAGATTTCATTAGTCAATAACTAAAATATCATGTTCTGGGCAAATACCACACCGTGGTGTACGGCAGTGCTGCAGGACTGGAGCAGTGTCATATGACAACATTAGCCCACCAAGATGGCCGTAAAGAGGGATGCGACAGCATTGGTAAACCATCTGTATGCTTCACCTGAGCAGTGCTGTACATTATGTCCGTGTGGCATTCCATCAAATGTGGGGATAGTTAACAATATGCATTTTCAATGCATGTGATCTCACCACACAAAATGAGTTTAAAATTACTGGACACCCGGTTTACAGAATGGTCAAAGTTCAGTGTCGACAGGAAGATATAACTCTGTACAGAACCCAACACAAAGCTTCTCTGCTATTTTGAGAAAGCTGTGGATGGTGTCCATTGAAACGTCCCTAGATTCATCTATAGATGTGAGTCAGGTGCCTCGCTAGTTTAAATCCACTGTAGTTCTTCCATGCTATGGAGCTGATGTGTAGTTTGTTTCCGTGCCTTAAAACATTGTGCCTCATTCATTAGGGAAGTAACATTGCAATTATGCTTCCTGCTGTTGCTTTATTTTAGAAGAAAAGTGTTGTACACAAGTTGACGATAAGCAGTTTGATGCAACTGGCTGTAGATAATTTACATTGCTTTGTCATTCATTGTGCCTTGTCAATGCTGGGTAGTTTCAAGGGAAAAAAATGACCCTCTGTGAGTTTTTGATTGTCAATATTAAAGCATACAGAAACTTATGTAAAGGTCTGGAAACTTAGGATTGGCGTGAAATTTTAGGACAGTCGCATTTAATTCAAACTGAATGCTGCTGAATCATTCCAGTCATTCCGGGAACGAAAGATTTTGAGACCGAGAGAACCCCCCTTGCTTTGTGTCGGTCATTGTCTCACTGGAATCTGAGGAATTCTTTTCAGACATCCAGGGGGGATGTGTTAGGTAACAATAGTCTAGAGTGTGTACAGCGATTGGACATGTTGGGGGGGGTACCCCTTGGTCTCATTTCTTGCTGGATATATTTTTCCCCCAAGTGCGTAAAGGTGTACAGAATCGTTTGCATGTCCATGTGTGTGAAATTCCAGCTGTTTTTCATGAACCAGTTAATATCCTCTTTTTTGATACCATTATCAATGCTGTATTTGTGAAAATGAAGAAATGCTTTCCTTATCGCTTCTGAGGGCAAAGTTGTAAAATTGCTAGCATCAGTGTGTATATATTTGCTGCTAATCAAAAATTATGCAGGCTACTGCCATATAGTTTTTTAAAGAGAAGCATTACAGAGTTTATGTGTGAATTTTAAACGGTGGGCATAACATGGTTTTTTTTTTTGACAGTTTGAGATTAACCATATTATGGTTTGGATAAAATATGGAGAGTATGCAGATAACTTGTGAATATTGTAAATGATATGGACAAGACATTCTGTGAAAGCAGTACTTAATAAGCATTTCCATGAACTGAGGTTGACTGCCAAAACACTCAATACAAAAATTGGCAACCACACATTTCAAATTTCTTGAACATACATGTAAGTGCCTCAGCACTTGATGGCATGTAACTCCTAACATGCATGTACAATGACCGTACATCTTCTCTCATGCTGAGTCAAAGTTACGATGTGCAACACATTACAGCCCAAGTTCTGATTCATGACGGTGCCTTTTTTGCAATCGGCGTGCAGCCAGATGCAACTCCAGTGTGTGGGTCCAGAGCGGCATACAGAGAGTTGCGACATGATGTCATGTATGATGTGAATGTAAGATGCCGTTGTGTTTCCAATCAGTTAATCGCTGTAAATAATATTGGACATGTGATCATTTTGAGTGCGCATGTAAACACACACGGGGAATTGGGAACAAAATGGCTTCTGTATCTTAAGTTGTCCCAACTTCCTCTTCTCACACATACGTGTACGCATGTACAGCTCTGTGTTGCGTACATGCCTTGTAAACCCAGCTTACTGTTACCATGTACATGTGCATAAACGCGCAGTTTCTTCACATGATAAGCACATATGGGCAGTGACCATGTACGATGCTTTCTGAAACAGGCCTCCAGTACATTTGATTACTTCACTTGTATCAACCCATGATGTCATCACAGGTTTAAAGGGGCATATGTAATCTCTAGAATGAGGGAATGATCTCCAGCTCCTCTAGGAACCCTAACCGGGCCAAGAGGTCATTAAATTTGCATAATGAGTTTCGTCTATCCCCAGGAGTGGAAATCCACACTCACGCTTCCGGCCTGTCTTTTACAGAACCTAAATGATGTGAGCCAAATTGCCACTTATGGAACAATTCTTCTGAACCATCTGCAGCTTTTCTTCACATCATTTGATCTAACTGCCATTTTTTTTTTTTTGGCACCGTAATGTGGGGTACTGTCCCAAGTAGTCACCACGGCAACTCGGTTACTTGAGCCAGGCCAAGTAAGCGGAGCAATAAGTCACTTGAGTGTCAAATTAAATGCAGTTACGCTTGCATGAGTAGGCCCAAGGGAAGTAATCAAACACGCTATTCCAAAACTGGAGCTACTTTCATTGTATACATGTGCCCATATATTTTCACCCAGCAAAGACCGAGATCTACCTCTAGACACAAGATACAGACGAGGCCTTCGACTGACAGGACACTTGGCTACACTTGCCTGTATTACAATACAGTCATCATGCTCAGAGCAGTTACAAATGGTGGTCAACCAAAAATGTGACATGAATCATAAAAGAAAATGCAGAATACTTCCTTGGAAACAAGACTTTATTACTGTTGAAAGCATTAACTGGAGTTTGCGCAATAAACTGATTTTATAGTATCATCTGAACATCTGTGTGTGTACTTTTTTAATGTTTAATCTTGCAAATAGATGCTTGTAAAGGTTCTCCTTGCTTTTAAAAGTCTAATATGAGGGGTCCACCAGACAGCACAAAGCACTGTATGCCTATATTGGTATACCTTACCTTCATGTGAATATGTGTAAATTGCCTATACAGGCATCATGCCAAGAATGTGTATATTCACGTCAAAATAAAGATGAAACAAAGAAACAGAGTTTTAAAATAAGCAAAATTTAAACATTTAAATATCTGAAGAGAGCTGAAAATATAGATATAAATAACAAAATTCTTTGAATGGCTTAAGTCAATAAGTAGGATATTGATGGAATGCCAAAAACAAACACAATGAAATCAGATCTTAACTGTATATGCCTTTAAAGGTTAACATTTTATTTTGCCATACATCAAGCTGACGTATGATACATGTAACTGTACAAGAAAAAGGACATCTGAAGATGTAATAGGAAGTTCCCCCCCCCAAATTCTGCAACTTGAACAGCGAAATCTCTTCAGTTCTTGTTACGTCTACTCTGTTTTCAGACTCCTTTTATGGCAAAGTCCCGGTTATAACAAAGTAATTTGTCTGGTCGCTATAACTATGTTATCACAAGAGATCCTAATTGATTCAAAATGTGCAAACCTGTACATGAAGTCTCTTCGCCTTCAATTTCATGATAAGACCAGAGTGGTCCTACACAGTTCCAGTGGAGAAACCCAGTCACCCACATTTTCTTCGCTGTCGGATAACACTCTCAACAACCCGATGTGCGTGCCAAATGTCTTCCATAATTCTATGACAGCCAATCTGACATGCACTCATTCGCTCACCAGGTTCTCTCAACCAAAGTGGCGCGCATGCCTGCACTTGGAAGTTCATGCCATGTAAAGGGATCGCAGGGTTTAGCTTGACCCGAACAATGCCGACTAAATCTTTCCCGAATAAAATACTTCCACGATTGACCTTTGCTTGACTGCTCTTATTTCTCTTTCCTCTCTTCCTCTTGGGCTCGCTGCCTCACCTCGGCTCGCTTCACTTTGACCAGAAGATGGGCCGTCTGGTACACCCAAATCATCTGGGGAAGAAGGGATTGGGCAACCAGGGGGGGAGGCGGCAATTGTAAGAAATTGGTACAGGTTGTAAAGACAAGTTCTTCCACTGGACACAAAGCAAGGCCCTGGGGGTGGGATTTTTTTTCATGGGGGTCCAACAATTTGCCTTTATCCCATTAAAGTAAATTTTTTTCTTTCCTGGGGGGGAGAAATTTCACTCCGTTGAAAGAGGTGTTTTAAAAAGTAAAAGTGGAAGTAAGTAGATATTGGTTATGCCTATTATTTCCAATTTCATTTGTTGAAAACAAATAATAAGACTGCTAGCAGCGTGACCAATTACCACCTTTGTGTGGCATTGCCCCAGAGCTAAATCTGTATACATGTCAATTGTCCCAGAGCTAAATCTGTATACATGTCAATTGTCCCAGAGCTAAATCTGTATACATGTCAATTGTCCCAGAGCTAAATCTGTATACATGTCAATTGTCCCAGAGCTAAATCTGTATACATGTCAATTGTCCCAGAGCTAAATCTGTATACATGTCAATTGTCCCAGAGCTAAATCTGTATACATGTCAATTGTCCCAGAGCTAAATCTGTATACATGTACTTACCACAATCAGTAAGCAGTTGCAGAGAAGAGGAAGACTGAAGACAACAGCAATGAACAGACCATTGGAATCAAAATACTGATGTTTGGAAAACTTTCTGTAGTAAGAGAAATTAAGTTTTCATATTAAAAATTGCATCTGGTGCAAAACCGAAACAATAAAAGCAACTATGTGATTATTCTCCAGAGTAGTGCTGGATATCTTTTTGTGCTATTTGCATTACTTATACACAGAGTACATGGATAATATTTATCTCATTACAAAATAATTCTAGCTATTTGACTTGGGAAGCACTTTAAGGACTTGACTACAGCACTTGTAAATGTAGCCTTAGGCCGTGTCCGAAACGGGCTTCCAGAGCTACGGCTAGGTCTATTGTCTACGAGTCTGCACACATTTCCAATGGAGGGAAGACCTAGACCTAGCTCTAGACAACAGATTCGGATGCAGCCTTAGTCTGTACCCAAGCTGTGAGTGGTTACACAATAAATCCTGTTCTTGCCTGGAATCCAGAGTTTGACAAAATCCAAACACTACATGTGATCTATAAAAGCTTTCCGAGGCCATCAATGCCTTCAAATCGAGCACAGGTTTAAAACCGTGACCTACTGTAATAAAAAATAGCAAGTTTTTATATGGCCCTTTTAACTAAGATTGAAGCACTTTCCATTAATGTTATCCCTGCTCACTGGCACAATGAAATATTTGAAATACCATCTCAGCTCCCTGGGGAGTATATAGCTCAATGCTGCCATTTTGGCTCAAAGCAGCTAAATCAACCACACTACCCATCTTTGCCCTCACAGAGTACCCAAGTGCATCGCCCAAGGGCACACGCACCATGACACCAGGCTGCATTTGAACCTGCATCCTGTGGCTTTACCCGCCAACTACATGTACGAATCCAATGCTCATACTCACAAGGCCACGGCACTCCACTCCACATCTGTACATACATACATGCTCAGTACAATTTAATGTACAAAATATATCAAAACGTTGGGCTACAATCTTGTGGTAACATGCAAATATATACCAATCACTATCAAGACCACTTTAATTTCTTGAACAGTTTGGTAACCCTGTTTCAGGCGTACAATTCTGATAAAAAGGCAACAAACATCNGATTTTATCTCTGAACATTTTAAGACCCAAGACACAAGACTTATGAGACCTTACTTGTAATTCAAGGCTGCATGCTCGTTGATGGTTTCTGAGAAGTAGATAAGAATAACTGGAGAAAAAGTACAAACAAACAAGCATCAAAGTGAAGCACAAACACATGGTTATAAATGCACACTGTCACCACTTCTTTTGAAAGCAGTATGGCTACCGGTACGCACACTTGAAGAGGGAAAAATTACACTTACTAACAAGCTGGTTTGAGGAGTAAATTGCTTCCATGTCTAAATGCTAATGGATTGAAATAATCATGGAAAGAGTTTCAGATGTTGATAAATTACATGTACAGGTAAAAATACTGAATGTTTATGAGTGCAATGTTAGATGGCCGTACTGTCAGCTGACCCTACCACATTTAGGTGGCCTCTGTGGTAAAATGTGTCTGGGAGAGCTGAAGATCTGGAAATTTTGTTTAGTTTGGGAGACCCTGGATCTACAGTTCCACGATTGGTGACTATTCACACACAGACAAATGAGGACACCCACTTCAGCCCAAACTACGCGTGCTTAGGCCTAACCAGGGAGGCTATCCCCACACACTGACCATGAACCACGTTGGCCTTAAAACACCTGCTGATCGATCAAGAATTCGGAGGCCAAGAGGAGGTTCTATTGCACAATCAATCAAAAAATTCCACAGATATCAGAAATGTTTGACTTCATGCGATTATAGACTATGATGAGGGGTATGACCCCAAATAATCATTGATCCTGGTCAAGAGAATAACTCACGAAGTAAGAAAAAGTAAACTAGTTGCACGTTGAAATATTTTCTGGTGAGGACAGTGAATACAGCACAGGTGGCATGAAATAACAGCAATGTTATCAGCCATGACTCAGTCCAGTCAATCTGGAGTTTAAAAAAAGAAAAAACAGCAATTATAGTGGTAAAAACATCCAAACAGCCACAACAAAAAATTAACAACTCACATCCATTTTAATTTTAAAAATACATAATATTTCGTCAGTATAAATCAAGTTAATTGACCTACCGGACTGACTGACCTGACTGACCAGATCTACCGGACTGACTGGTTGGTCCAGATCGGTCAGTTTAAAGTTTATACTGTACGGAGTATCAACTCCCTCCACTTGAGTATTATAACCACAGTCCTTTACTTGGGCATGCTGGGGGGGGGCCTGCATTGGACTTTTTTCCATCCTTCCCATTGATTTCATAAAGTAGCAATTCTGCCACATTATGGTGAATTCAGGTTGAATTGTCATAATTGTCGGCTGACATGACTGACTCATTTTATGATTAGTGTGGTATGGATTTTTGCTGCACTGTCTTCGACTGTGTCATACCGCAGGCCCACATGAGATATGTCAGAGATTTTAAAGTGGTTTTTTGCCAATGGTAGGATATTCTCCAATTTCTCCAGGACTAGTTGGAAAACTCAGCTAGGACTCTAGATATCGCCTTTTTTAACATCTGGCGATGGTGTACTAGTCCTAGAATTTTCCATCCCCTGAACATGTTTAAATGTTAAAAAAAGGCAATTTTTAGAGTCCATCTAACACTTGTGCTTGGCTCATAGGCATGCCTATGGGCAGCCATCGGGGTAAAAGAGACAACAAGAAAAATAAAAACAAAGGTTTTAAAAATAAACAAAATAAAATAACGGAAGAAATTAAAAATAAAAAACAAAAAAAGAAAGAACAAACAAACTCAATAACAGTAAATAAAAACGGCCTAGATAAAAAATAATCAAGAATGAAACAATGAAAAAACCAAATTAAATAAAAAAAAATTTTAAAACAAAAACAGAAAAAATAACAAAACTATAAAAGAAAAAGAAATAAAACAGAAAACATAAGAATCAGCCAGAAAATATGGATATTTGTAATTAAAAGAGAAATTTAAAAAAATTGAAGTAGAAAAAAAGTAAAAAGGAGAAGAAAAAACTGGGAATGAAAACAAAGAGAAATCTACTTAACAAATGACAATACAAACTGCTATTATTGTTTGAAAAGAAGTTTAAAAAATCATGAAAAACAAAACTGGTAGTGGACTTTGTCACTTATATGGGATCATATCCTGCATTGAATTTCTGATTTACACAACTTGCACGTTTTGAAAACTTCCGTTATTCTGTCCCTAAACTAAAACTTCATTTGGAGGGCAAAATGACGATACTTGCACCCCATGGATTTACTTGGGTTAGGTTGCAAGCGTGGTGAGTATTTACGAGGTCATGAATTATTTCCCAAGTTGCAGTGTTTTGGTTTATTTAAACCTAGAACAAACTAATCATATCACTTCCTGACACAACTAGAATCTGAGTCATAAGAATCAGTTTTGAATAACTGACCTTTTCCATTAACTTTTTTATTGACATTAAAAGCAAGGCAGGGCAAAAATCACATCGGTCTTAAGTAGGACTATATTATACATATAAACATGTACAGTATAAGAGATTACGCTCTTCTGCCTGTGCTACCTAAACTGTATGTTTTACACGATATGCCTGTATCATGTGGCTGCTAGGCCAAAGCACTATGCATGCCCCCAACATTCGTAGTCGACCAGTTATTTTATGAGAATCTTGTTTGCAAGAATTTTGTTTGATGAACTTGTAAAATTATAAGATATCAATTTTGTTTTGTGAGTTACAATTTTGTTTTGCGACACTGCTTGTTTTTTTTATATCTTTGAAAATAAAAATTGTGGTTTGTACCGTGATTTTTGTCATAGATTACTCTTTTATTTTTGTTGTTTCTTGTCTTTTTGTTTTTATTTTTTGCTTTTAATTATATCCATATTTTAATTATTTATAATTTATTTTTTGCCTTATTTTGAACTTTATTAAGAATGTTTGTTTTTTCACCCATTTATTTATTTATTCATTTATTTATTTATTTATTTATTTTTTTTTTTTTTTCATTCTTTTTTATTTTTTNAATTCTAGCTCTGAACATTTTAAGACCCACGACACAAGACTTATGAGACCTTACTTGTAATTCAAGGCTGCATGCTCGTTGATGGTTTCTGAGAAGTAGATAAGAATAACTGGAGAAAAAGTACAAACAAACAAGCATCAAAGTGAAGCACAAACACATGGTTATAAATGCACACTGTCACCACTTCTTTTGAAAGCAGCATGGCTACCGGTACGCACACTTGAAGAGGGAAAAATTACACTTACTAACAAGCTGGTTTGAGGAGTAAATTGCTTCCATGTCTAATGGATTGAAATAATTATAAAGAGTTTCAACTGTTGATAAATTACATGTACAGGTAAAAATACTGAATGTTTATGAGTGCAATGTTAGATGGCCGTACTGTCAGCTGACCCTATCAGCTGATCCTATCAGCTGACCCTATCAGCTGACCACATTTAGGTGGCCTCTGTGGTAAAATGTATCTGGGAGAGCTGAAGATCTGGAAATTTTGTTTAGTTTGGGAGACCCTAGATCTACAGTTCCACGGTTGGTGACTATTCACACACAGACAAATGAGGACACCCACTTCAGCCCAAACTACACGTGCTTAGGCCTAACCAGGGACGCTATCCCCACACACTGACCATGAACCACATTGGCCTTAAAACACCTGCTGATTGATCAAGAATTTGGAGGCCAAGAGGAGGTTCTATTGCACAATCAATCAAAAAATGTCCACAGATATCAGAAATGTTTGACTTCATGCGATTATAGACTAAGATGAGGGGTATGACCCCAAATAATCTTTGATCCCGGTCAAGAGAATAACTCACGAAGTAAGAAAAAGTAAACTAGTTGCACGTTGAAATATTTTCTGGTGAGGACAGTGAATACAGCACAGGTGGCATGAAATAACAGCAATGTTATCAGCCACGACTCAGTCCATTCAATCTGGAATTAAAAAAAAGAAGCAATTCTAGTGGTAAAAACAGCCAAACAGCCACAACAAAAATTAACAACTCACATCAATTTCAATTTTAAAAATACATTATAATTGTTCAGTATACATGTAAATCAAGTAAATTGACCTACCGGACTGACTGACCTTGATTGACCAGACCTACCGGACTGACTGGTTGGTCCAGGTCAGTCAGTTTACAGTTTATACTGTACCGAGTATTAACTCCCCCTACTTGAGTATTATAACCACAGTCCTTTACTTGGGCATGCTGGGGGGGGCCTGCATTGGACTTTTTTCCACCCTTCCCAATAATTTCATAAAGAAGCAATTCTGCCACATTGTGTTGAATCCAGGTTGAATTGTCATAATTGTCGGCTGACATGACTGACTCATTTTATGATTAGTGTGGTATGGATTTTTGCTGCACTGTCTTCAACTGTGTCATATCGCAGGCCCATGTGAGATATGTCAAAGATTTTAAAGTGGTTATTTGCCAATGGCAGGATATTCTCCAGGACTAGTTGGGTAACTCAGCTAGGACTCTAGATATCGCCTTTTTTAACATCTGGCGATGGTATACTAGTCCTAGAATCTTCCATCCCCTGAACATGTTTAGATGTTAAAAAAAGGCAATATTTAGAGTCCCATCTAACACTTGTGCTTGGCTTACAGGCATGCCTATGGGCAGCCATCGGGGCAAAAGAGACAACAAGAAAAATAAAAACAAAGGTTTTAAAAATAAACAAAATGAACTAACGAAAGAAATTAAAAATAAAAAAACAAAAAAAGAAAGAACAAATAAACTCAAGAACAGTAAATAAAAACAGGCCTAGATAAAAAAAAATTAAGAATGAAACAATGAAAACAATATGTTTTGTGAGCTACAATTTTGTTTTGCGACACTGCTTTTTTTTTTTCATCTTTGAAAATAAAAATTGTGGTTTGTACCGTCATTTTTTTCATAGATTACTCTTTTATTTTTGTTGTTTCTTGTCTTTTTGTTTTTATTTTTTGCTTTTAATTATATCCATATTTTAATTATTTATAATTTATTTTTTTACTTATTTTTAACTTTATTGAGAATGTTTGTTTTTTCACCCATTTATTTATTTAGTCTTTATCTTATTGTTTTTTAGTATTTTATTTTTCATTCTTTTTTATTTTTGTTGTTCTTAATTTATTTGCCTTTTCCTGTTCTGTGTTATTTTCGTTTCTTTATTTTCTATTCTTTGTTTCATTTTTTTTAAATCTAATTTTGTTTTTATTTTTCATGTTGTCTTTTCTGCTCCGATGGCCGCCCGATGCCAAGTCCCAATCATGTCAGTAGGTTTGGCCATGACTGAGCTGATGAGCCTAGTCATGGTGGTGCACTGACAGAGTCCTTTTAATTACTAGTTACTTGGACTACTACAAGACTGAATACAAGTACCCTAGAACAGGGGGGGTCCGATGTCCACCCTGATCCCACGAAGCATGGAAGACGTCGAACTGGGGGTTAGCAAGTTACAAATAAGTTTAATAGGAGAGTTGACTCGCTCTAGGCCTCCACTAGAACTCTGTAGTTTGAGGTAGGCCTACGGCCAAGGCCTAGACAATTAATTTTGACAACATTGGTAGTACTCACTGCATGCAGTACATGATTTGGTTTGGGTAAAATCTTGTGTGTTTACTCCAAATTTACTCACTGCCCTCCTATTGTGTCCGCAATACTTCAAAAAGGCTAGTAAGTAATAGGGTATGTGATTTATAATTATGTTGACACGAGGGCCAATTGCTATATCATAACTGGTCAACATAATTTCAAATACAGTGTGAATGACGACTGGCAAAACTGGAAACAGTTCTATCAAATCGAATGATAATCAAAGGATTACTGATGTAAAGTACTTTAATACTCACGTGCTCCAAATACGCAAGCATTCCATCGATGTCATTCACTCCTATAGCTTGTTCTGGGGCCATTACCAAACACGTTGTCAGGCTTTTTGCAGACGACAAAAGCGATGGTGTGGACGTAGTCACTGCGGCAACGCCCTCTGCGGATAAGATTGAACAAGTATTATTTTTTTTTCAGGCAAAAACGGAAAGTACGGATGCGTAGTGCTGCCAATGGTCAAATCATTTAAATTATGCACCTCAGATACGTCCACCATCACGTCGTTGTCTGCGAAAATCCGTTAAGCAAATAATGTAGAGAGAGAAGATTGGTTTCGCTTTAAGAACTCAAGAGCGGCAAATGAATTCAATGTTTTTCATTCAAAAAACAAATTTCCCAAATTAATACGGGCGATTCATAATAGCGTGCCTCCAAGAGTTTGTTACGCGTTGGCCAATCAAAATGCGCGAAATCTGTCTACCCATTCCAAACGCGCATTAGGTTGACAGATTTCGTGCATTGTGATTGGCCAACGCGCTACAAACTCTTGTAGGCGCACTATTACGAATAGCCCATATTTATTAATTTCGTCAACATTAACCACTTTTCAACCAGCCGTATTTTCAAAGAAACAACGAAGAAATTTACCCGAGTGTTAATAATTGCTTGTCATATAAAAAATCAGAAATATCATGTCCCTTCGGCTTCGCTGGCATACTAAAATGAATTGTGCAAAATAATTACGAAGTAAAATTCATATCGCAGTGGAATGTATGATGGTTGAAATTTTCAGTACATTCCTCTGACACATAGGCCTAAACTTGTCAATTTTATGTTCCTTAATTAATTGATTGCATGATTGGAATAGCCTATGTGCAGTGATATTGAATTTTCTATGTGAATAAAACAAAGAATGAAAGAATTATACTTTTTTCTCCATGTAGAATTTTTCAACTGAATTTTATGAAACTATGAAAATTTTCACAAAAAAACAGATGCCCATTAATACAGCCATAGTGAAAGGGAGTGTACGTTTGACGATTAAATCATTCCACAGCACTGAAAAAAGTTAAGAACAGTGCATGTCATAGTACTCGGGTTTTACAAACAGTGGAAATGAAAACCTCAGATATGTATGGAAAATTTGTTCACTGGCGGTTAGATGGTTCACAACGACTGGAACCCATGATATTAGTAAGTGACACAAAGCAAAGGTTGAGTGGACCGCCGAAAAAAGGTACATGTAGCTGCTAACAACAAATACATGTTCAGTGATTTAAGTAAGACAACGAAAGTGAGGGGGGAGGGGGAGAGGAAGAGAGAGAGGGGGCGCTATACTACCTTTGGCATGAGTATTCAAAATCTGCGCTCGCCCCCAGTATTCTCTTGCCCGTCAAGCACGCGTAAATCTGCAACACTCGTAAACACGTTGACTAAAGTCCTAATTTAAATTATACAATTCCAGGGGTTCAAGGCATGCCCCAACATGGCGCGGCAAGAGGGGAACGAGGTTTACCGGACCCTTGATTCGCCAGAATCATTGGGTCTGGTATCCAGGCTATTATGTTTTCAAAACGTCTCTCAAACTGGGTGCGTTCGCGCGGTTACTCCTGTTGACAGAGTAGGATGCGTGCGCATAGAGCCTGAAAGTTGACCCCTGATGGCACGCCTCTGGACCCCTTGATAGGAAAAATAACGTGCAAAGATTTGAGAATTTATAATATTTTTTCGATCAGTTTCTTCTTAAAAAAACCAACTTGGAAAAAGGGCTTTGAAAAATATTTGCTAGCATATCAATTTATATAGGCCTAAACTGAAAAATTACCTGACTAAAAAGAGAAATATCCTGCCAAAAATTGACCCATCACTTCCGAAAATCTAAAATACATGAAAAACAGTGAAATATATATGGCAGTCTCGTACGCAGATGAATATTTACGGTTTGAAATTCTATGGTAGTCTGTGGGTAAAAAAAAAGAACAGATCAAAATATTTTGCACATTTTGATAAATTATACGGTAACAAAGTCAAAGCAATACTCTACTCTTACGACAGATTCTAATATTTTATCTAACCTTTAAACTGAACGACGTCACACTAAGGAACCGAATAGAACGCCAATGTTTAGAAACGTTGCCGGACCACTTGAAATTGGATTTGGTGAGAAGGTATACGCGTACACGCGAAGCTCCTCTGGATTTTACAAAAATTTCTTTTGGTTATCTAAGCCAACCATGACAAACAAGCAAAGGAAGTCGTGGTTTTTTCTTGTCACCACTTTAGCTTTGTGGCAAACAATGGGCGCTGCAGGTACGTTTATTATTTTCATCTCGTTGTGATGTCACGGTTTGCTGAATATCTCTCAATGTCCCTTATCAGTTAAGCCAGTAACAACGTTTAATCCATATGTGGGATATTTTCAGAACTGCATGGACGTGCGAACAGAATAAAACTTAAAATGCCATATTGACTTTTACTGAGAATTTGGTTTGCATGTTCCAAATCATTTCATTTGTATTTTTAGATTATTTAGATTAATTGGTTGATTTGAATGAAATGAATTTTTAATAAAATATTCACCAAAGAGCTTGACTAAAAAACAAACCCCCTGATCGCGAAATACACAAGTAAGGTTAGGATAGAATAAGTACCCTCTGTGAGCTGTTGTCATGTACATGACACTTCCTTCATTTTTAGTTCTCAGCCTACATCAACGTCATGCGAGAAAACCTTTCCTTTATAACAAACATTAGAGCCTGCTCAAATGCCAGCGTTTTCATGTAGTATGTACAACATGTGAAGATTTGGCTGTGTGGCTGATCACATAGGTCTTTCTGTTTCAACCCCCGGCTAACAGCAAAATCAATGAAAATCAGACTCAAAACTTATAGAAGCGGTTGAAAACCTGGTAACCTATCCTTGGATGCTTGGCTAAGACAACATCTGTAAGGTTGAACTTGAAAAGGGAGTTATTACTGTCTAAGTGATTTTAACGAATGAACTTATTAAATCCCTTCATTCGAATCTCGACATAAACAGCCATAGACCAGCAATTACACAGCACACCACATGCAGTGTGCAAAAGCGCGGGGGATTCTCTCACTATGCAGCTGAGTGCTTCAATCTTGTGCTTGGCACTATAGGTACAAAAAAGATGCAGTTGAATACAAATTGATTAAACCTAATGAGCAAATTATTTAGAGCAATCACTTCGTTAATAACAGAGTTGCAGTAACACTAATAAATTAAACAAATTAAGTAATCAGAAGTGTAACAAATAGTCTACCGTATAAATTCAGACTAAAATGATTGTAGGATCTTGATTCAGCCTTATTACGTCAAACTTTATTGAAAATACATGTATTAACATAACATTAACATAACAATAATGTAGAAATATATCGATGACGGGTGAATATTAATTTTGCAAACTTTATGTAAAATTATTAAGTACAGAGTGATCTTCTGACCAATTGTTTGATCGAGAACGTGCAATGATTTTAAGATGTCGAAAACGAACAGTATCGTATGAATCAAACATGAAATGATGTTGTTATCATTATTATTTACTGACCTTGACAAAATCAACGGTAAAAACAAGGCAAATGTCCATGTAAATAAACGTCAACACACTCAAAGAAACTATGATAACAACAATTAGGAGGTTGGGGCAGCAATTTAAATGAAAGTTAAAATTAGGCTTCCTTGTGAAGACAGCATTAAAGAACAAGACATTATGAAAAAAACAAAACAGGAAAACAATTATATGGGTCAGGGACCGCAAAAGCGAATCTAATCACTGTTGTTGGAAAGCATGTGGACTCGCACATAATGACAAAGGAACCCTAGACAAAAGACAGTCACACGAAATAAAGGGAAGCCCTGTACCTTAAGATGATGAAATTCTTAAAACATCTACTAAATTCTAATGAATCCTAATAAGGGGCAAGGACATGACATTACAGAAATTATTTCGATGAATCAACCGATAACCGTTTAATATGCAATCGAATGCTATACCGCCGATATGTAGAAGAAACTATTTCCTTCAGAAAGGCAGTTGCGTGTGAAGACCAACAAATAATGTTTAACCATTTTAAAATGATTGAAGCGTGGCGGTTTTGATTAATACGTTACTTCGTTTTCAATGTACTTTTTCACAAAAACCAGACGTGCTTTTGTGTGGAGTTGGTGCCACAAGCTCCCGTGGTTAAACTGAAGGGCATTCAAACTATGATTTATGGTAAATAGGCCTTTCCAGCCATATCGAGGTAAACACTTTGGAGCAGGACAGATTGCAACTTTTCGAATTTGTATACGCCGAGACTTGACGATTTCTATTGCTCTCTTTCAAAATCGTCGTCACAATAGCAATTGTTGGTACTCAGGCCTTTGGAAACAAGTTGAATCAGCATCTACCTTACAGATATGTTTATAAACTCGCGTCATCTTGTTGAACTATTACAAATACACTAGATAGGCAAGCCAGGCCGAATGCGATTTTCTGATTTGCATGTGAGACAAAATTTGATCACCCACCAAAACTATGCATACTATTAGGCGTCAACAGAAAATGCCAACAAATGGAATGACGTCATATATCGAGACGTCTTATATATATAACTCCACATCCAATCAAATTGAAAGCTAGTACGATTGTAGCCAGAGATGTAGGTTACAGGTAAAACGGTAGCAACGTTTTGTCAAAGCGTTCATGTTTCATCTGACTGTCCTCAAGGGTACACTTTTGGCTACACCATAATCCACAGAACTTTAAACGCGACTGAACTGTTTTGAATTTCGGAAATGTTTTGAAACCCTGGTCAACTTTCTGGTTTTCAAACCGTCCTCAAGCAGCCTTCGCTTCTGGGAATATGAGCAATTATATAAAACCGACCAAAACTTGAAGCATTTGCCTACAACCACCTAAATTATTCAAATGTTGTGAGTGATATGCCAAAAACACAAACAAGAGATGATGACGTGGTCTTATAGATAAAGGCTCCATCTAGAAACACACGAAGGAAAATTACTTGAACTTTATCATGATTAGGCAGATCCTATCAGTGAATAAGACGCCCCCTCGCCCAAAATTATGAGAAACTGTGCTGAAAAGGTGGGCCCCAACATGGCGTCCACGATGTGCAGAAGTTAAATTCCTAAAAAGGCCCCATATAATTTTTTCATTTTGCAGAGTCTGGAGGGCCATTCAGTTGATAATCTCTATGATTGTACCGATACATCCATGTATAACATCACAACACATTGTGTGCGAAGACCAACAATGACGCAAATTATTCACAAAAAATGAAGCGTGGCTTCGAGTACGTTTCGTCAATGTCAGTGTACTATGTCAGTGTACTTTGTCACCTAAAACTACTGTTCCCGTGTATGGATTTGGCGCCACAAGCTCCTGAGATTCAAATAAAGGACACACTACGTAAGCCACAATTTGGGGTAATGGAATTTTACAGTCATAACATGTAAACAGCTTTAAACTGGATATATACTCGAATGAACCGATACGGGCGTTTCAAAATAGTGCGCCTCCAAGAATTTGCAACACGTTGACTAATCACAGTGCGCAGAACCTGTGGACCAAATGCGCGTTTGGAAAGGGTCGACAGATTTTGCGCCTGGTGATTGGTCGACGAGTTGCAAACTCTTGGAGGCGCACTCTTGTGAATCGCCCGTATTTGGTATTCTATCAGCTCATGGCAAAAACAAAGCACGTCCGTAGCAACTTCGTTCCCATGGGAACGATATTGCCGCGCCATGTTGGTTCCCACCATGCCTCGCACGCTAGTGAAGGAACGCACACGCTGCTCATGGAGTCGAGGATGCGTCCGTGGTCATTCGGACGCGCGTGCGAGATTTGCCCTACCGCGCCCTACGCGGACTCGCACGCGTGCTTTGTTCCCGAATGATCTTGCTTTTTTGAAGAACTGGCTCATTATGTAAGAAATGGAGTGATTTAATCATTAAAACAAACAACAAAACAGATTTACTCATAACAAACATCGTTATGAAAAACACCTAAACAGTGCAACGCTGTCTCTATGCTTAGGCCTATGTGAAAAGCGCTCGTATCATTGTCGGTCGTCGCACGTAATGGGTTACTTAGTGTGTGCTTCGTTGCTGTGTGGGTGTGTTGATGGGTGTGTTTGTGTATGAACAGGCAATTTTTGAAAAAATTCCGACACAAAATCCCATTAAAAATAAAAATTGTGCCCCCAAACTGTGGAAAACTTAAATTATCAAGAAACACTGCCAGAAACGTTTGTACCAAGTCAATCGCTACAACGTTGTGTGTTACACTTTAAAACTGCTGGTTCAGATTAATCTGAATGGGTTATGATCTATTCGGGTCAGAAAGAGACAAAGTTTTAGGTCAAAAAGACATTTTTCTGACTTGTAGGATAGGATAGGCCCTTATCCTTTGTACCTGGAAAGGAACTGAGCAAACTCAAATTTAGATTCTGGGTCAATCTGACCTAGCAGGTTTTGTAGAGGTCATTTGTAGCCTAAGTTTCACATACCTACTTCTTGTATATAACCACCATTTGGGCCAATGGAATTTTCCCGGGGGCATTTTCACCCCTCTAGCGCAGTCTCTTTTGCACTCCCATTCTATGCATTCTAGTCGCATTAGCTTGTCAATCCATATTGCGAAACTAGGCCAGGTCAGTTTTTCTGTTATCCAAGCAAATGCAATGCTGCCTTTCGTTCTGGAAACTTCCACTCTCGATTTTGCAGTGTTAACAGAGTACATAACCATGCCATATTTGCAATGCCAAAAAGCCGCCACCACTGCAAGGATCGAGGACTCGGACAGGGGGCTGCCAGGCAGTCTACTACGTACGTTTACCGATGCTGATGTCGAGAATCCTCACTATATCCCACACTGAAACATTTACACATGAAAAAAAAAATCAACATTATACAAACTGTTGTATATGCAAGAACACGTTTAAAATCAAATATAACTTTTAAATTTAATAACAAACATGTTTCAATTATACTTGTATCTGATTATGCGAGATGACACCCGTTGGCCCTCCAGAGTTTTTAACTAATCAGAAGACACTTAGGTGGACCTTCATTGAGAAAGAAAAAAAAGGGCACGCACTAATCAATTCAGTCCCTGGCCCGTTTGTAGCCGTATATGCAGTCTGGCACTTCAGGCTACGTAAATGGACGTCCAGTTGAGCTTTAGTTAAGAAGATTCGGGCTCAGGCTGAAATATATTGGTGTTCTATCAACGCCTCATTACACTGGGTGGTGAGAGTCGTTTCACAGCGCTTACTTCGTAGAATGTGGGATGGGTGACTCAGACTTTTATGGTGACTCTGAAAGGACACCGGTTATCGTCAATGTATACGTCAAAATTAGCATTCAAAATTCACGACTCGCCCCAAGTCCCGAATATTGATGTTGCTGTAACGTCTGCCGTTTCTTGACACTGACAGAATTGGACCGTAAGACTCGAACTCTCTTTAGCAGCCTTGGGACGTTTATTTACCTCAATTTTCTGTTCTGGCTGGCATAAACTTCCCTTTAGAAGTTTTCAGTCAACACTTGTTGCCAAACAATATACCTCCACGTTTTCCACGCTTCAATGACAACTTTTTGTCAGCCATCCAACTACAAAAAGATTTCAGTTCTGCGGTCAGCCTTTGTTCTATAATACATGTACGTGTACTTGAATGTGTTTTGTCTGATACAATGAGGGCAGCACCGTCAGTGTGCATCAGTAATCTGCAAGTTACCGCGGCCTCCAATTCGTAAACATAGATTAAAAACAACAGGGGTCCGAGAACAGTTTGTAAACTGGATTCAGTGCCAGAGATGTAACTACGGTAATTGCTTTCTGTCACACGAGTAAAGCCTGATTTCCTTATCGACGTAACAAACGCAGAGGGCAACGCAACCAAGACGCAAACTGCAACGCAGACATATGAAAACATGCCAAACGGAGGTGTCGCCGACAACGTAGACACACGCAAGCCAGTCTGCGAACGATCGGCAAAGTTGAGCCAGGTTCAACTTTGCCGACTGTCTGCGTCGAGAATAGCTGTGGTATCCCCATACAAACACGAATACTGGCACGACCGGCGTGCAACGATGTCCCTCTCGCTTAGTTCCACGAATTTTGCCGGCTTAAATGTTACACCCTATAGTATGATCAACAGCTGACCATCAACAAAATGCATGAAAGTGGAGTACACTCAGGTTTGGCATCAAGAGGCGGCACAGTCAATCTATAAGGGTATTTTCCGCAAAAAAGGCTGAGTTTCGAACGCCATTTTGTTTCAATTTTGGGGTGGAATGATGTCATGCACCGTCTTTTCCGTTCGTACCTGCGTCGTCACGTTAATAGCGGGTTTTGTTACGAGGTGATGATCGATTTCTTGTTTGATGACGTCACAGAGTATTGACACATGTCATCGGAAAATCTAGCTAATGTCATCACATGATTTGGGTTAGAAGCACATTTATAATTATCAACATGACGAAAAGAGGAGACTGGTCATTTTGAAATTGTCCCTTCAAAAGTTCAAGGATGATGACGTCATAATTCTGAAACTTTGAAAAGTAATTTGTTTGTATCTATGAAGAAGTTTTTGTCTGTACTCACGAAAAAAAGAGACAAATCTCAAATGTCGAACAAAAACTGTCTTTGATGTGTCACACACGGGGCGCCCTTTCTTGCTGTGTTGTCAGCAATCCTCGTTTGGTAACTGATGCTAGGCATACCATGTACTCTTAACGCCTGCCTTATTAGTAATCTGGTCCGGTGTAAACAAATCCATCCTTTTGGAGTTGTGATGTCATAATCATTACATCCTGGAAGTTGAGGTCACGGGCAATTCTTTTGCAAGAAGATATGGTCTACCCGGCCCAAGCTGCATCAGTCAATTGCTTAGTTATACTTGGAAATATTTCTTTAAGATTGAACAAAAATTAGTGGTAATTTAATACCTGATGACGTTATATTGACGTTACATGCACTTCAATATTCCAATAGTAATGGAAATCTATAAAGTCGGTAATTGCTTTTTCGCGACAAACCGGCCTAAGTTCAAAACTATTAGTCTGTTCAAGGATAGCAGTGTTGTTTGGCTTTGTCTTAATTCCTTTAGACGACTGCGACCCTCAAGATGCGTCGACTTGTTCTGGAGATTTGACCTGCATTTTGCGACTGGGACGCCACCAGTGTGACTGTCCATTTGGGTCTGGTCGGAGGAATGCTTCGGACACCTGCATTGGTAATGGCATTTTATGGTTCAAAATTGGAATAGGCATATACTGAAATTTATGGCGTTTATGTGATTTTATCCAAATCATTTGAAATTAAAATCGTATTCTTAGTGCTTATCCAAAAATGTACCAAGACAAATATGTGATCACTTCTATAGGCCTATCCATTTTTTTCCTTTAAATTGGTGTTGAGATTTAGTCCACAGCATAGGAATACTGCTATGTTTGTTGACTTGGTTTTCAGCGGTGAACGAATTTCGTCTGTCGATCGCGATAGAGGAGTTTGCAGGTGAAACGTTCGAGCCAGCTATGTTCAACGATTTCCCGGATGACCCAAATTCCACATTGTTCATGAATTTTCTCCGGCAAGCTGTAAGAATCAAGCTATTCTGATCCTCATTTACAATCTTAGATTTGTATGAAGTACCGAGACGCCATTTCATTTGTATCAGCCGGCGAAACGAAATTCGACAATTACTTCTTCGCTCTCCCCTCCATCTTCATGCTCATGAATATTTATTTCATTGGGTGAATAACAATAGTCTTTTTACCATTAAATCTTTGGTTTTCATTTTTATTAACAAACTTTTCGATGTTTCAACTGGTTTTTATCAACTACGGAGCTCTGCAAATGCCACCTGACTTGTTGAGATCCTGGAGTGTTTTATCGTAATGAAGACTACATTACAGACAAGATGCTGATAGCATGATGAGTTAATTTATGAGTTAAGTTAATAATTGATAAGATAACGACAAAAATGCCAGGATGAAACTTCTGGGCCTTCCGTAACAATATGCAGTACAGGTGGACTTACTCTTTGCGTGTTTTGCTTTCTTTGTTTTACAAGATTGAAAACGAGTTTAATGATGGTGAAGGCGGTTTCCTGAGCGCTCGGGTCCAAAAGATAAGCCGGAGCGGCAGAAGTATCAGGGCGGTACCGATTGTGTCATTCAACAAAGACTCAAACACAACCCTAGAGATGGTTCAGGGGGCTCTAATGGGTGCCATCAGTAGCAAAAACATGCTGTCAAGATCTAACATGAAAGTCGATCCCAGCTTAACGTCTGCACAGGAGCGTAAGTACACGTCACAACAGCACAGTCAATACTCCTTTTAGTCAGAAAACACTTTTGGGGTGCGTTCGAGGAGCTTCCACAGGCAACCCTGTGCTGGGATGGCCAAGTGTACTGTGTGTCAAATAAATGAGACTACGGGGACCGAGTTGAACACGAGTCAATTTGTGGAAAGTACTCGAACGCATCCATGGTTCGTTTCGTTCCTCCTGTGGCTACAGCTTTTGCACTAGTTGTCATCCTGATAATAGATCATAATAGTCGATAATAGATCTAAGACCATTCAGCTTTCTTGGATTTTCAGTTGTATGTGAGAACGGGTATTGTCGGAATGGCGGAACATGCACCCCCAGTATTGAAGATTATTCAAGCAACTGTACGTAAGTATACCGCTTTCAGTAAAAACAAATAGGCCTATGTACATGTACACGTACAATATTGCTCACCTATCGAGGTCACCAGAGGCAGAGTACAGTTCTCCAAACATTTATAAACTCTGCAAATTTGTTTTTGTTTCTTTACAATCCTGATAATGGTTCAAGAGTTTTAAATACAATAAAGTCATATATATGCATAGCAAAAACAACCTACTGTTTTCAGGTTGGGATGGGGATGGAGGTTCATGATTTGAATTCTACCCTGATAAAGAGTATGCTCTCCGACATCATCAACACAGCGTTTCTCAGCTCTTCATTTTTCATTTCCACAGTTGCGTTGCCGGCTATGAAGGTTCGAGGTGTGAAGTGTCTCGAGGTCGGTCTTTATCCAAGTCTCATGCCGTATTCCCCAAAGTTTTCCTTTCAACAAATATTATATCAAAAAGTACTTTTGCCATTTCACAAACGCTTGGAATGTCTAACATGGGATCAGATCGGTGAATGGCGGTTGCTTTTTTTTCATTTAAGTGCTGTCGAATCTATCACAAGTCCAGTCACAAGTTCTGTATACTTTCACAAGACTAGTCATGAAAAACGGTTGAACAATGACAAGGGTATATTTTTGTCAAAGTTGAATATAGCTTGTGATTTAGCTTATCCACCAAAGAGAGTCTAACTTGGACCAAATTCTCCTAGCAACGGAGGCTCCTTTAGTGGGAAATGCATTTTCATGCTATTTCGCTGCGCTCATACTCATGAAAAACAGTTTTGGTTTTACACATCAACCCCATTAAAACAAAGAGGAGAGAAATGCATGCGAGTATGGATTATTCAGACAGCATGCAGGGTGTGGGCCTGCATGCACAACGATTCAGCCTGAAAACAGTATTCAGTTTTGAGTACTTCTAAAAAGGCGGCTGATCTCTTCTCTTTCGGCTCCCTAGTTCTTTCAAAGTCTCTTCCTCGGCAATAGTTCTTTTGTTGTTTGCTGATAGGTGTCCGGAGCCTTTCTTGTCCAACTGCGAAACTGTAGCCCAACCAACCTTGCTTCCGTCTGTGATTAGAATTCTCTTTACTTGTCGGCTATAAACTCTTCAGCCTCTTGTACCGCCCAAATCGCTGAATTGGGATCGGACTTTTCGATCAATGCCAACTTTACCTTATCAAGAGCGATTTCTAGTTTTCCGCAAATTTCAAATTGCACAATGTTATACCTTGGACGGTGCTTGGCTTCAATCTTAATTTTAAGCTCTTTTGTAGGAGTTGAGTCTTCCTTTGGCGCAGAAATGGCATTGAACCTTTCGTTAAAGTAGGCCTCGTCCTTAAACTTCTCAAACACCAAGGCCATGTCTGAAGCGCGCCCTCGTAGGTCAACAGGTCCAAGGAATTGAACGAAGAAATGAATAATGGTGGAGATGCATTCAGCACATGTGCATGAGCCTGAACTGAAGGGCGTTGGCAAGAAAAAATGCTATACCTATACCAGAATCTATTCTTATCCTAATATTAAGAAACGACTGTGAAATACGTGCGTTCATACGGTGGCGTCGCTACCAACAAATTGATCTCTCGTCACCAAAATGGCTCTTTTCAACCGATGAGGGGGTGCTTTTTCTCATGACGGATAAGCCCGAATGACTTGTGATTCAAATTCAAATTCAAAAACAACATTTATTTCCATACGTTCATTAAAATACGAATCAAGAATACACGTAAAAAACCTACGAGCCATAAATACAATGTAATGTAATAAGAGAAAATAGAGGAAACTAAGATAGAAAGTATGGAGCTGTTCGTAATATAAGCGAGGGCTCATCTGTTTCCTCCGGCGGGTGATTGACTGTTTAACTTGAAGGAACTTGTTGATTGACCCGACTGCAGCACTAATTTTATCTTATTTTCTGACATTTCCCCAATACTCAGGCGAGTCGATTGCTGTCATCTTAATTCCCCTGGGTTATGCGCTCCTAGTTACAATCTTTGCTGTTTCCGTCTGTTACTGCCTTGGAGTGATTGCCACCGCTCGCCAGAGGAAACCGACGAGCAACGATCGTCACTGCTGGGATAGGACCTCTGAAGACAGCATTGATTACGTCAACGACCCTCAGTACCCCATGAAATCAGTAAAAACTCTTAATGTTTGAAACTTAGATGTGCTAGTGTCATAGGCTCAGCAAAGACAATACAGCCAAAGTCTATTGCAAAGTAGCCCATTTATTTAAGCGACGATAAGCGGAGGTTGTATCAAGGAACTGGCGAGAACAGAATCCCTTTTTCCTACTCGTACGTACGAGATATTAGTCGTTCGTTTGACTTTAGTATCCCAAGCCTACCCAGAGAGTAGACCTACGACTCGAGAGAACGAATCGTATCTCATACATGAAAAGTATTTCTCGTGCTGACTTATGAATTCTTTGTTAAAAATTGAGGAAATGGGTCCACCTTTTGCCGAAAACTGCTCCGTAACAAGTGTCTGGTATTCAGAGATTGACACTCTTTTAGCACGATTGTTTCCCTTTGATCAGGGACTGAATCTGCCAAACCGTCATGGAGGAATTCCGCTTGGTACTGCGGAGAAGGTAATTGGTACGAAGGCTGAAGAACTCATGGTAAGACCTCACCCGCTCGCAACAAAATAAACAGAAAACCACAGAATTGACAGTCACAGTATGTACCCTAAGTTATTAGTTTGCTTATTCTAAACAAAATAACTGTCCTTTTTTCTTATTTTATTTTTACTTCAGTAAGACTCGCGTGACGTCTAGAACTCAGCGACCTAGGAGAACTGAAGTGCCACCTGGTAATCGTTAGAAAGTTTTGGAACTCGACCATGGAATTGTCAGACCTGATAAAATGGGGCTAAGGGTAGTGTTTGCTTTCTTCTTATTATTAAATGATGAGGAGTTTGTTTGGGCTGCTTTTTAAAAATCATTTACGTTGCAAATAGTCGCCGAAATAAGATTGGGGGGGCAAACTCGCCGCCGCAAATTGACGATTTTGACCCCCCCCACAAAAAACAAGAGCCGCTGCGTAGCAAATTTTGAATACTTTACAAAATAAAACTATAAAATCGCGATAACTCGGATCTCAATTGAATGGATAGAAAATTCGACTTACTCAAATTTCGAGCAAACGAAAGTTCCTGAGTTACGAGGCATAATATAAGCCTAAATCTTCTCTTCGGTGGTCAAATGCTCACAGCAGTCGGCGATTGGACTGCTTGCGGGCGGGCTAGCGCTATTATTGAGTCCGAGGTAGCTATCAGGCTAGCTTGTCAGGATTTGTTGCAGTTACGGGTTGGTTTTCATGCAACCGTGACGGGTAGGCCTATATAAATGGTCCCGCTGGTGTGAACAGACTGAAGTGCGCCTGGCAGTGGTCTCTCGCAACACAGGTCTGTTTGTTCCACATGAATCTGAATCTCGATCAGTGATCCTAACACTGGTTCGCACTACCCTCTATGTGGGTTTTGGTGTCCGTAAACCAACGATGCATGGATCCCTGATCCGTGTGAAACACGGCCCTGTATAACGCGTTCCTGTTGACACTTTTTCATTTTTTGGCGATTGTTTTCGTTTATGTAGGCCTATGCGTCACAAAAATTTGAGATAAGATGATGTAGTGCACTGTAGTGGTGTAGTGGCATGGTGTGGGGATTTCTAGTTACATGCGTATTTGTACATAAAACTTTGCAGTAGTCTTTCGGAGGGAATCATTTATGTGCGTTTTTCAGGCAAACGGTTTCATGGGTTTACGGCGAATGGAAGTTGATAACATGTTTCCCTCCTTAAGCAATCCATGACCTCACACATATAGGACGGGGATAACTCCTTCAGACAGAGAAAAGGTGTCAGTGTCGTCTACGATAAGGCTACAGAACAGAACGGGTGAATAGGGCGCCCTCTTTTTTATTTCCCACTCGCTGCTCGACCGAGAGACCCAAAACGGTTCCGTAATCCATAAATTAACATGTGTAATTCTAAAAGAAAAGCCTTAACCCTAAAATAGACAGTTTATATTGGCCCCTCTAACAGCCAGGTGGGGGTGGATTCCTCCCCCTAAAAGCTCGGCTGTGCTCATCTCGATTTTCTTGAAACTTGGCAAGCATGTCAAAACACTTCTTTTCAATGCAAAGATGCAGTTTGAATTCAAATCAGACGTAGGGTTTTGTTGTTACGGTAATTTGAAATTCAAGGCTACATGCGTCCAAGCCCGCGTGCATTGAGCTCCGCAGTGGAAAAAGCATACATTTTCCCCTGACCTGTTTCAGAAAAATGCGCGCTGTGCAAGAACGGTACGTTCAATTTTCACCAAAGTGGTGTCAAAACGACCGTAAAGAATTACGTTGAAAATTCCTAAAGGCTCAACTCCTGAAAAACAATGTATTGTAGTAAGTCAGAAAAATGTTGGGGGGTGGATTCTGCCCTGGCTCTTTTAGGAGTGAACATCCTTTTCTCTTCCTGATATTGGTTCGTTGCTAATAAAGAGCTCAGTTATATCTAAAAAGTATCAAATTACAAATCTCCATTTACAATGCGTTTCAAATAATGTTCCCCCTTCACGCGCTAAGGAATTAATTTCATGTATATCCTTTGTTTACTGGTAGTATTTTAATTAATAATGAGCAATTATAACAGTGTTTTACCCGAGAACATTTGTTATTTCAAATCATTTTTTCTTGGTTGTAGGCCCAATAAATTGATTTTAATTTAAGAGTCGTCATTTGTATAATGTTTCCTTTGATATCATGCAGTGGTTAGTATTGTCTTACTTTTAAGAGTTCGAGTGTGTACACGTGTGTCCGTATTACATTTAAGCTTTGGTGTTAATTTGTATATCTCGAGTCAATTATTACACAATGTCTGATTTTTTTGTTAAAAGGTCTGTTCTGTAGACTTTATATTTCTCTTTGAAACATCTATAAGTAGGCGTGGATCCAGGGGTTAGGAGGGTCGACCCCCCCCCGCTCTGATACCAGAAAAGGGTACAAAAGATAATAAAAAATAACTAAAGTAAGTTCACCAGTACCGTTGTAAACAATGTGTGTCATGTAGTGCTTCATCATCGTTTCTGTTTGTCTGCCAAAAATGAGACATAAAGACAATCCCGGCTGACCGCCCCCACCCCCGACAAATTCCTGGATCCACTCTAGTTATGCGATATACTCTGATACCAGTATCAACGTAACTAGATCAGTTTCAAAGAAAACCTTTTGTTTCAGTAGGCAGATGGGCTATGCTTCGCCAACAAATGACAAGGATGTATTTACTCATTACTTTGATATACTGGATTAATAAAGGTTATTGGGTGGAGTTTTCTGAAGAATTTTCTTCAGTTTAATCATATTTCATTAGTTATTTGAAATGAAATGTCATTGCTCGAATTCGAAACGTTGTAAAACAACAGCGTTTCGAAGTCGAGCAATGGATATCTAAAGATCGGTTCAGCGCTGTTTATTTCACATTCGACAGAAGTTCTGTTTGTTGTTGTTGCAATGTGGCAAATGGTGATTTTTGCAAGTCTCGTCAAAATTGGTACAATTTTCTGTGGCCTATAGACGTATTCCATGAACACCACGAATCAAATTTTTCGGAATAGTGCATTAAAATTAACAATTACTGTTAATAAATGGCGATTTACTGTTATTTTGTTACTTAAAGACAAACAAATCACTAAACTGAATTTTTCCTTGGAAAATCCTATTAAAATGCCACTCGCCTTGACACGAGTTCTGAAGGAGTATTTCTATCCAACCACAACCACTAAAGGTGACCTTAGCGAACATCAGATGTGTTTCTCCATTGCATTTTGCCATTTATTACAGCGAGAGAGCAACATTTCCTGACCATTAAGTTCCCCAACAGACGGTACACAGTTGCTTATCAACCTAACCGTTTATGCCGTCGCTTGCTTGATTGATAAAGGTAGCTTACGAATGTTATATTATCTTTTTGAGAGCAAACTCCAATATGTGCACAGCCCTGCTTCCCATAGAGGGCCTCAGATTTACAATGTGAGTCGAAGGCATACCAAGGGCATCTCGGGGAGTTGCCGAACGGCCCACATCTGCCCACACCTGCAGAGAGGAGACAGTATAGAAATAGCACGTTTGTGCGTTTGGTGATGTTACTTGAGCGCACTTTCTCTGGACCTTGGGTGCGCAAGTATTTTGAGACCTGTGTTTAGTGCACGTTTGAGAGCTGTCTTCAATCAGGTAGCGAAATTTAATTCGTTGCTAGGTACTCCAAACTTGATTATCCACCCCTAGCTGAATTGCACCCCCAATTGGCGAAAGAAATAATGGTGGTTACAAGCGTGTACGCAAATACTATACATGCCGGGACAAATTAGTTACGCGTACTTAGCGTGCTCCGCGTAAAACGCGCATATATTTCCGCGCCTCATGGCGCGCCTATGCGAGGAGTAAAAAAAAAAGAAGAAAAAAAAAAGAATAACGCCCTCTTTTGTTCCACTCGGAAGCGGATTATTGATTGGGATAGGGTTTCGAACTGAACTAGACTTGCCAGATTGCAGCCGCTGCCGCGTCTTCATCTGGGGCCTTTTATCAAAGCAAAACTATCTGTACTAATAGACTGGAGGATCATCGACTCTTTCTTTATCCGGTAAGTTAAAGGCATTATCTTGAAAACTTAATTGTGATTATTTTGATAGGTTTTCTTGATGAGCTTGAGAGGAGTGTGAGACGCCTCTGTGAGGTCCTTTATTGAGGTACCTCATTATCCAGTGCGCCCCTGGGGGTCTCTCGGATTGGGCGGCGCCTCAAATACAGAATGCGGCCCCCCTGGTTGACGTGAAAGCCTGATCACATTTTAATAAAATCTTTGTACATCTGAGCCTCGGCATTAATTAGGCTACTTCTCCTCTTCTCATGATCTCATCATGGAAACGTGTTTTACATGCACAAAACCGATCCAGACACGTACTGTTCACAGTACTGTGGCGTGATATACGCGTACCGCGGCGTACGCGTGCATGTACAGTACATGTACACGGAAATTCTCGACGGAGCCTGTACAACGTTCATGTAGGTCATACATGTATAGTACATCATGTACATGTAAAACTGGGGATATGTACCGTGAATTTCAACATTTCCTGGCATTGTTATAGTGACAGATAGACCTCAGTTTTGATAATAAACTTCATGTTAACTTACTGTACTTTTGTGTTGGTCTTTCGTTCCCTAGCCACTGAATTCTTACGCTCGCAAGGCCGTAAGATTACGCGGGATGAACGGAATCGGTGCTGAGTTAGGTCGATATGCAAACGCGTCTGGGAAGAGAAAAAACTAGCGGGAAACTGTCAGGAAATCTAAACCTGCACAGCTTTCTCCACCACAGGCCACTTTTGAAAACTTCAGGAAAACTTCGAATTCTTTGTTTTGAGCCTTCAAAAATTGAATCAAAACGTAAACAGTTTTGACCACTCTGGTACTATTTCTCAATTCTATTTTTACAAAACGTGTTAGGAAAAGGCCTTATCTTACCTTAAAAATATTTGGGGAAGGAATATTTATTTCCAAAAAGTGAAAATAGGACCTAAATTTCATGAAATGAAGCAGCTGTTGGCCTGGCACGAATTCTTATGACCCTTCTTACGCATGCAAATGACCCTAAAAATGGGACATGCGCAGTTAATAATTTCCCTCTGAAACATAGACCTACCTGAAGTGGCACGGATGTACTACAGCCACGCGATGTTTTATGCGTTTATGTGGAACTGAAGGAGACCAGTGTACACGTATTTACTGAGCCACACAACAGATCAGAGTCAGTCCACGTAACAGGTGGGATTTTGCATGAACAGTGGATTCGTGCATGAAATCCAAAACTCTCTGACGTCGCGCCAAACTGATACATGTAGGCCTCATACTCGACCGATCATGTTGCTTTATTGATCGAAACAAACACGACCTTCAAGGCTATATTTATATCTTTGTGCATGACTTTAGCGGCTTTCGCTTTTCACAGGAAGTCTGACACATCATTGTCCCCGAAGATTTATGTCAGACTCAGCTTAGGCCTATCTACTATCATAAGTAAAGTGGTCTGGAAGTGAATGTATTAAGGACCCACCCCTGTCAAAACGATGGTTCAAGATGCATCGTACGAAGCAGAAGTAGATAAAGCGTGATCTGATTATTCAGGATGGTTGAAATGATTTACAAATATTAATGTGGTAAAACGTCCTAGGTTAGTAATATATACATTATTTGTAATTTCCAAAGGTATGTTTTAATTTACTTTGTTAACGTGATACGTTGGGATAGCCCCCCCCCAGCACCACCACCACCATGAAAAAATATTCATTTTTTTATGTTACATAAAGGATACTTCAACGAAATGAGAAAATGTTTAGGAGTGTTTCCGTAAACATGATTCCACGAGGTCTTAACTTACCCCGAGCTGTATATAGATAGACTAACGTCAGCTTCAAACTTTGGAACCAAACTGGCTAGGACCTTCCCATTACGTGGGCACAAAAACATTGATATTCACCAATGAGTACAACATGTAGGCCCTAGCTACCTGGGGCCAATTTCATAAAGTTGCTTAAGCACAAAATTTACTTAAGCGGGAAAAAACTTTTCAGTTTGCACAGATTTTAGTTAAAGAAATGCGTCACCCGGGGTCACAGCTAACGACGCGCAGAGCATTGTGGGTAAATTTCTGCCAGGAGCGCGATCTCGCTCAATGCGTTACACAAGCGGCGGTTATCAATTCGATATTTTTTCTTTCTCTTCCTCATTGCTAAAAATTTTATTACTAGGTGATCGGGCATGCTCGCGTGCCATTATAATATTTTTTTTGGCCACGAACGATTTGGGTAATAATCGCAAGTAAGCCTTTGTATTAAATTCCTCCATGGTAATACCTATGTATTCGTCACAGTGAGGTCGCCGGTGGCGTCAGGGTGCAGGCCACTAATTCAAGTGAGAATTTCTGGCCAGCTCATTAGCATTAAAATTGCCCTCACAGTATCTTTTGAAAAAGGAAATTGTTTGGCCCCCAAAATGGTAAGACGGTGTAAATCGTTGCCAGGATGAACTTCCTGGGTCTTTGAGCTTTCATATGAGAGCAGAATGATAACAACTACGGTTGAAAAATGGTCCTAAGTGCCCCAGAAAGTTGAGGGTTGCCACTTGAAAAATGGCTGTAATTGGACTTCGGGAAAAAACACTTTTTGGGGGGTGATTTTTTGGTGGGAATAATTAAAAATGTAATTGGTTAACCCACAAAAAATTGAAAAGAAATTGAAAGATTAGGGACCAGACAATAATTTAATTTGTGTTTCTGAAATCTCGGGGATGTTGGTATGCATGTTATTGGGCCCTGAACAGTGCTGATTTTACACTCTTTTGAATTAGCGGACTGTACCCTTCAATGACCTGACGAGCTCTGTGAGTTCAGGGCCACGGTTCTGTACAGTACACCTGTAGTGCTAGTGGTACGCACAGGTAAAAGGTGTGCAAAATACATGTACATGTATTGTGTACCGTACGTGCACATGCCCCACTGATTTTTTATATGGCGTCTATATTTATACCCCTCCATTTTGGCGTTTGTGAATCTGCAGCAACTTAATAGCGCTGTCTTTGAGTCCTTCTGTGGAGAACGGGGTTTCAAAACAGCCGGAAGATAGATCTCCATCAAGGAAGAATATCCATGCGTAAGGTTTTTGATACCTGCATGCACAGTGTTTCACGGCAGCAAGTTAGACTGTGACCTATCAGCTTTCGGACTACAGTTTTCTACGACATTCTAAGTGACGTGGAGTATGGAACTGAAACTTTGAAGGATATGCAGGCTAAGTTGTTTTGAGAACAAGGAGTTTCCTTCCTCGACTTAGTTTTGCTTATTTGTTCAGGGTCGTACACTGGAACGCCAGCGAGCTTTTGTGATGGAAAAGAGACGTTTGATGGATTAGTTTGTGAGTCAGTGATCTTATGTAATATGCAGTAGCCTTTTTCGAGCAGTGAAAATTCGTTTATTTCCCCTCGTCGTGCAAAACAAACCATGGTATTCTTGCAGTCCGGTTTTAACAATAATGTGAAACACACACAAGTATGAAGTTAGCGTTGAACTTAAGGCCATCCTGATGGTCATTAGCTTGCAAAAGTTTTTTTAAGCCTGATTTTTACGAACTTAAAAATCAGTTTCGCTGTGATTTGATTCTGTCACGGCAATGCATTGCTTAACCGAAAGTCCAGTTGTTGTTCAAATAGAGTAGAATTTAGTAGGGTTTAATGGTGTCGATAAAAATCAGTTCAGGACTAATGACGCTGTTGCATGAAATGGCTCAATATCTCCTTCAAAAAACTTTTACACTTTGGCTTTATCACGTATGTCATTACAAACGTCCATTGCAAATGTATATGTGGGGTATATCTCAGGAAAACCCCTACAAGAAATATTTTCAACAGTTTATGTTGTACTCCTTGTTGGCAACACCGCACGTGCGTAAGTATCAAACACTGGCTACGGCTCTCCACCGCTTTCTCTTTTGATCAAAATTCGAAGCCGTATATCGCACGAGACCGGACCGGATTATGGCTACCCTGTCATGCTCCGCCCCATACAATCCCATGTATTAACTAAACTGATACACCGGCAGTGCCGGGTGAACATACATGTACGTGAGGAGATTAGTTCTTTCTCCTCGACTTGAGCTCGTGTTCCCGCGGGTGAAAGAGGGCTAGGTTATTATGGGATTGTATGAAGTCACATCCTTGAGGTTGGAAAATAAGACCCGAATGCCGGGACCGCGTATGAACCACCGAGTTCAACAGTACTTCATCAGCTTGGTGAGTTGAGTCCACGATTACTTGGCTTCAGCCATTATCCCACGCCTGCTGCGTAGCCTGCGCTGGCGAAGTTGTCAAGACATATAATTTGCGTGAGATACAAATAACAAACGTTACACTTCTTTTAAAACCTTTCCCCTCGTCGTAGTAGAATCACTTTTCGTCGCTATATATCCACCTTCTTTTCAACTTGTTGATGTTTATGACACTCAAAATTGTGATGGCCTGTTACGGAATTCTTTCCAGCACAAAAACCTATTTTGTGAGGTCGTGAAGTGAAAAGTGGAGTATTGCACTGTACTCACATTTATTTCACTCACATAGGTCTAGGCCTCTTTCTTGTACTGACTCGTGATTGTACCGTCTAGCTGGCCATGGGGAACTCGGTTATTTAACCAGATTTTTTCTATTCCCGTTTACTGCTGGAGAAAGTTTGACAGACTCAAACCCCCTGATTCATCATTGGGTCATTAGAGAAACCTCACCCAAATCTCTCCAGCCAAGTACGTGATGTCTCTTCCAGAGTGTGGAATACATGTACGTTTTTGGCGTCTCTATTACACCTAAGGTCGTCTTGAGGGGGGATTTCTAATTCCATCTCACTGCAGAGCTGTTTCACGGAAAGTGTTGCTTCACTGCTTATCGCATGAAACGTTTTCTTAACCAATCTTAAAAGTTCTGAACGCGATATGTCTGTTTCTCTCTCATAAATACTTTTGTATAGGCCATAGCTCTATATGGCGTCTCTTCAAACGGGTAAAAATCCTCTGTTTCACATGCAGGCGTTGATGGCGTTGTTCGCTCTTTCGAGGCTGAGAAACAGAAGGCTGTGGGCCATCTTCTCCGCCGGGTGCTTATTGTCCGCACTGAGTTTTACTCTAACGACAAACGGTAAGTACTTTCAAATCACCTCGCACTTTCCTTTAAGGGCCCTGAAGGTTCCTACGAACGCAGGCCTAAGTGTGGTGGGGAAGTTGTAAGTGACCCCATGGTGTGGAAGTTAGTATAAGTGTCCCCCAAAAAAGAAAAACCGAAGGAATCCCGCTAAAATTTGGTCAGAATTTGTGGACGGCCAAAGGGTTGTTCGAAGATCATGCATGCGAAAGTGGTCACGTTGCTGACTCCCTGCACATTCATTTTTTTAAAATTACAATTCATTGTAGCTAAAAATCTTCACAGCAATAACCGTGCAAAGGTTAGTCTCTTTCAAGGCTTTCAAATGAAATGCTTATTTGACATGTCTACTTAGTAAAGCTAATTATCCAAACCCGTCCCATCAGCCAACGTCGCCAGGTGTAGTTTTTTTTGTCAGCCTTGCAGTTCCCCATTACAGGGTCATACGTTACTCACAGGACTTTGGTTATGTTATGTTAGCAGTTATATTTCGCCCTTTTCACAAAGGAGATGCGCCGCCATAATTTGTTCACACAGTTAACAACAGATTGTCTTTTTTCCTAAAGGCTTTTTACCTAAAAAGAGTCATGGGACTTTTAACATCATGACACCATCATCTCGCCATGCGATTACTCCAAGCAGACAACAGTCCCACGCGAGAAAAGAGCTGATGAAAAAAGAACACCCCACTAAGGTACAGTTTATTTACCCACTTTGAAGCGACAGTTGACCGTACACTTTAGACACACTGCACTTCAGTTTGAAAGTGGGCATCTCGCTTTAACCACTCATGTACTAGTCTTACAGGTGGGCCTTTGTTTTTGTATTATCTCAAAAACAGTATGCGTGTTTGGATAATTCCAACAGATGTTGTCGCATCGTTCAATGCACTTTATTCTCGCCAGGCAGTGTTTATAGACCAGGATGCATTGTTTTTTCTCCAGCAAACCCATGTATTTTTCATTTTCTCCGCACAGAATTCCAAAACGCCACAAACCGACTCCATGGAACAACAGGCGCTGGTCCAGCTGAGCCGCAAGAACTTCCTCAAGAAAGTCTGCAAGAAGCATCGGGAGCTGAGAGTGAGCAATGCGGTTGACACAACGAGAACCTTGAAGCAGCTCATGGTCATGCCGAACACCAGGGTCTTGTACTGCGTCGTACCGAAGGTATTCCCTCTTTACGCGTGAATAGGTCACAGCGACTCAGTCTTTGGGGTGTGCCAAATCATGACTTTAACTCCAGAAGCGGCTTTAGTTTGGTGCAATCTCTTGAGCAGAGACCTTCGGCCGTATAATACAGAATTTGCTCGGGGACCGGATTTTTGGGTACGTATTTTTTTTTAAATGTAAACCCGAAACTGCGATTCCATGGTCTGCCGCCATATTATTACCCACGAAGATGAAGACAAGATTTGGTGAACAGAACAGAATTGTAACAAGGGGTGCAAAATACAACCTTGGTCCTTTCGTTACAACGAATTTTTAACCAGTATGAAGCTTGGATCAAGCACATCACAGGAGTGACTCCGGTATTCCTCTAGAACGTATTCACCATTATTTTGGATCTGAACATCCCGGTAGAATTATTTCTATCCACGATCGACGAGACCACGATTTCTTCAGGCTTGAATTTCCGGAGATGCATCATCCCTTGAAAACGGTTCAAATTTATGTGATTTGCACAACCTGTCAAACGTGCTCGTAGACAGAGCTCCTGCGAATACCCACACCTTGCCTTAACGTGAACTGCCTTCTTGATCAAGCTCCTCTGTAGAAAATGTGAGAGTTAACGAAATTTTGCATGCTAATCAAGAACTTGCAGGGCACCAGCCACAATGTCATGCACCACACTCTGTGACACGGTGAGTGGAAATGTGTTTTTGCCATACAGTTGTGCTCAAAAGTACTTTGCATGACATACTTTTCTAAATTCTTCATTTGTAAAAGCTATTATGTTGGTACTTCCACTATATCTTTTGTCTATTTGTTGCAATACACAAACCCGCATGTGCGTTGACTAAACTTCATTTGCATAAGAATAGATAGGACCCGGGTTTCTTTTCTGCTCCTGTTCAAAATTATTATTCATACCCCAGGCTTACGTAGTCCATTGTCTTTTCTTAATAGTCAACAGCGTAGCCTTTGTTCTTGATGACTACCTCAAGACGGTTCCTATAATTGTCCACAAGCTTTCTGCATGTCTCCTGTGAGATGTTGGTCCATTCCTCCTTGGCTAAAGCCTCCAGCTGGGTCAAGTTGGATGGTCTCCTGGCTATCACTCCAGTCTTCGGCTCCCTCTACAAATTCTCTATTGGATTTATGTCAGGACTTTGACTTGGCCATTCCCTTACATGGACACCATTGTCCTTGAACCACTGCTTTACTAACTTGGCGGTGTGCTTGGGGTCATTGTCCTGCTGGTTCTTCTAATCGGGTCCAAGCTGGAGTTTCTCAGCAGACGCTTTCACATTGTCATCTGGGATCTTGATATAATCTTCCGTTTTCACGATGCCCTGTATCTTAATGAGGTTTCTGGCGCCACAAGCAGAGAAGCAACCTCATAGCATTATGTTGCCACCACCATCCTTGATGGCGGGGACTGTGCCAAATTAGTTTGCAGAGATATCACCTTTTGGTTGGCGTTTGATTTTTATTTCCAGTTCGTTAAAAATGGAAAATTTTCCCATAGATTTGAAATATGGTTGTATTTTCATTTAGTACTGGGTAGAACAGTGTACATGTATTATCATCCAGGGGTCTGATGGCTGCATGGGATTTTTAACACCTTGTGAATTATTTTACTTTTGTACTAACGACCAACCATAGTTTTAGCAGCCACTTGAAGGAAGAACATGACTGTGGGGTAAAAGGAGCAGATCCTTTATCTGCCTCATCGCTCACTGCGTATAGCCACTCAGGTTAACGATAATTGTGAAAATGCCGTCTTTCCATTAGATCATAACAGATAATAAACGACATAACACCCTTTCATTCTGCAGGTTGGATGCAGCAACTGGAAACGAGTCTTCATGGTCTTAGAAGGCCACCGCCGTTTCATGAACATTTCCCAGATTGACGCTCACTTCAATAATCACCTGGAGATACTGTTGTCCAAGCCACTGGACGAAGTCCGCCACATCCTACAAGCCTACCGCAAGTTTCTCTTCGTGCGCCACCCGTTCTTCCGTCTGATTTCCGCCTACCAAAACAAGATCGCCGGTGACCAGCCTTTTCGCCAAGGCGGCAACTGGCAGTTTTTGGACGTAGCCCGGGCGATCATCCAGAGGTACCGCAAGGAAGCGAAATCCAGTGACTACGTGAGGGGGAACTTGAGCGTGACGTGGGAAGAGTGGATCGCATACCTGACCGACCCGCCCAACCGAGACAAGTTTAACGACCACTGGAAGGAAGTCTACAAGCTGTGCACGCCTTGCCAAGTTCAATACGACTTCATCGGCAATCTGGAGACCGTGGAAGAGGATTCCCGGTACATGTTCAAGGTGTTTGGTTTGAACAATGTCACCTACCCACCGTATCGTTCCCGCACAAAAGTGACCAGCTCCGAATTGTACAATCACTATTTTTCCCGTGTCAGTCAAAAGGACCTGCAGAGATTGTGGCAAATTTACAGACTTGATTTTGAACTTTTTGGTTATCCCAGGCCAGAGAGATTGGGCAAATCGGTGCACCTCTGATAACCCATGAGATTTAAAGGACCTTTCTCGAAGTTCGACCCGTGTTTCGCGTTCCGTCTCTCTGTACCCGGAGGTACAGGGCTCCATTCAGTGGCCGTGTTCATCGAATTCTGCGTGTCCCACGAGCGGCCGTTCGTGACTTAATCAGATGAGAGTTTTTTACGAACCAAAAGAAAAGTAACAGGGAACGAAAATGCATAGCTATTTACACAATGGCACCCACAGATGAAAACATATACAAAAACAAGAACGGACGTAAACAGCACGACAGAAAATATCACCAGTAAACTATCATACTATGGGGGGGGGGAGGAGGCAATTTTATGCAATGCCGTGGGCCAAGGGCAACATCTGAAAAATAGTAGACCTACCCTAAAATAGCCACTGCGAGATGCTCTGGGAATTGAGGGAATACTTTCTGGCCGTGTCCGGAGCAAGAAGGACGAGTCAAAGACAAAGTCCTTCGATTATTATCGTACTATTCAATTAACTTTAACACATTGAGAGTTGTCTCTGACGTCACTTTGTGTCGTTGGTTCCTTACTGACATATGTGTGAGAAATAATTTTCAGATGTTTAAAACCCCGATCTTGTGTGAGACAGGGACTCCGTAATACTCATTCGCTGGTGTTACACATATTCTGCGCATGCCTCGATGGACAAAATACAATGATGACAAATCACGTGTGAAAGCCAAATCTATTACGGTAACCCTAAGGGAAGAAAAAGCCGATTTCAAGGGAGTCAAAATTTCATATGACACCGGCCCCATTTGAAGAAAATTCATCGAAAGTTTGTGTTTTTTGTTCATTTTGAGACTAAGCTACTGCACTTTTATCCACTCAAATTTCTGAAGGCCACGCTCAGAGCTGGAGACGTCCTTCCTAACGCGGGTTCCACACGGTTCATTTTAAGCGCACCAGGAAGTCGTCTGCACTTAGGCAGAGCGCCAGGCAGCGATCCTGTGCCGACTTTCACCACTTCTTTTCTTGCTCTAGATTTTTTCACCAATTTCTTGCACCCAAATCCCGCTACCGGTCAGGGTCGTCACCCCCAGCGGGTTAAGGACTGGCCTCAACCATGCCATGCGCTTCGCCCCGCATGGTATCAGCTATACGCAAACTTTACAAAATGTAGGTACCGTGTATGTCATGGCTATGATTTCGAATTTGAAAATATTTAAAGCTTGTCCAGGAAAGGTTTATGCATTGGTGACGCATATACTTATTGTAAACTGCGGCAGTTTGGTCAGTTTATTCCGTCGTATGTAATTATTATTATTGCACGTCAAAACATGGAAACGATATTTTTAACCGAACCCGTCTTGGAAAAAAAAGTGCCTTTTACGAAAACGGTTTGTCTTCAGAATGCACAGTGACGATATTCGAAAAATTGTCGGGATGGGGGGTGGGGGTTGAATTGGTCCTACTAATTTTATAAGTATAAAGCCTACTTATTTCTTGCATGAAATGGATAATTTCATTTGACTACGTATGTATCTTTTTTCCAGTTGACTCATAAATTGTCCATTAAATGGTTAGCTACGGAAAAAGATATAATTTTGCATATTAAATGCTTATGTAAGGCTAGATCCTATTAAACAGTCAATTCAATTCTACATGACAGTAACCAAAATAATTGTATTTGAGCGTTTTAGTCTTTCCAAGACGAGTAATGAAGCTAACCGTTACTGATAATTAAATTTGAACGAAAAGAGTTTGGAAATTTGCGAGAAAACCTATATTTTCACTTTTCCTTTTAGGACTATGGCGTCTAAATTTTGGAACTGAATGGTAAATGACTAACTTGTTTTTCCAATAGCACGTTAAAAGTTCGTCTAACACAAGTTTTGAAATTGGAAACGATGAATTAGAAAAAAAAACTTAAAAAAAATATAGATATGAAAACCTCTATTATTCTCTAAGTTTCAATCATTTGCTGGTCGAAGTTTTGTTAATTAACAAAGCACGTCTACTCCTTAGGCCTATTGGCCAAGGAGATTCGCCGAAAATATGGCAGTAAAAAGCACGTTGTCGTAAAATTCCAGGCAGGTAAGGTAACCGTAATGTAGGCTACATGATTTTCGCAGACTAATGTAAGGGCATGTGGCCTGATGGTTATGGTTTGTAGCCTCTGATCATAGGGTCGGGGTTGTGATCTTGGGCAAGTCACTTAACCCCATGTGCCCCTCTCCACCCAGTATTTACTCCTGGTGGAGAGAGGGGAGTAAGTGGGTACCTGTGAGGGCAGACACGACCGTTTGCGCCTTTTTTGCAAATGACAGCACAGGGATATACTTGTCAGGGAGCCGAGAGGGTTTCGGGTATGTTCAGATGATGTGAGCCCAATGTTCAGGAATAATGATAATATATCGGCGCTTTTGAGTTGCGGATGTGAGATACCGCGCGCCTTATAAATGCTTTGATTTTATTAATAGCCGAAGCTGGTTTTTCTTAGCTATGATTTACCACGCCACATTAAAATCAAATTAGAATTTCAATTCGCTTCCACATATCCGTATAAAAGCGAGCCCCACGGCTGCGCCATCGGTCTCTGAAATTGTGCGATTTAAAGACATGCTCTTCGAATTGGTTAATGTTTGTATTAGTTTACGTCATTACCCGGTGTCGCTCGATTGCCTGGAAAGCCAACTCACTGCACACTGTTGGTTACCTTTCTTATCTCTGCGGCGCAATCAATTTGCAGAATGGAAGGAAATTCGATAAAGAATAACAGCAATACTCATGAAAATCATTCTTTTCCGCATGCATGTTAGTTATAATTGTCTTAAAAGTGGACTTATTTCCCTTTGCTTGAAATGTTACGAGTGTTGAATCGATGCACATAGCTTTTAACTTCTTCAGATCAGTGCGATCTTGTTCAATTTCTTT